ACACACACACACACACACACACACACACACACACACACACACACACATACGAGTTAATCCCCCAGAATCCACGTCTTCCGGAATCTGTGAAAGTCCCTCCTCCGCCCTCTAACTCCATGAGGGCAAACACGCTGCTGGGCCGGTGTACACCCTTCCCGAATTCTCTGTGCTCACACAGACAGGAGCCTGGACACGCTTTGTAAAGGCAGTTTTAGGAGCCGTCTGTCAACGAGAGGGTGGGCCAGAGCCCTCGTGGGGACGAGGAAGAGAAAAGCACCCCCTCCTTCCTCTTCTGCTCTCTGCTCCCCTGTCAGGACATGACTTCTGGTTCTGCCTGGAAGCAAAGAGCCTGGGATGCTGACGACAGTGCGTGAGGGCAGGCTGGTGGCTCTATGAGGGCCGAGGGCCAGGCAGACGCACCGCCCGCGGCCCTGAGAGAAGGGGACGCGGGAGCAGGCGTGGGGACTGCAGAGACATGGGCTTGCTGTGGTTTCTAAACGGGAGAGTGAGCTGGAGGCTGGTGGGTTCTGGGTCTGATGCAGAAAGGACTTGAGAGACGCCGAAGTGAAGAGGGGGCCACTGGAGCTGGCAGGAAAGTTCAAGGGCACTCGGGAGCTGGCTGGGGGAGGGGACGCAGGACCACATGGCTGAGACGCCCAGCAGCCCTGCCCACAAGTCTGTAAACCACTTCTGGGGAACTGCTCGTGATTTTAAATACGCTTTTAATTTTAGAATAGTCTTAGAGTCACGGAAAATTTGCAAAGAGAGAGCAGATTGTGGCAAACCCTGCTGCCACTTTCCCCTGTGTTAACACCTTACACCTTTCGGCTGTGTTCATCATGATGAATGACCCACTACCGATGCGGTACTCAGGAAAATCTACACTGGATTCAGACCCCCCGGGTTTTTACCTAGTGTCTAATTTAATCTCTCTCTGTCCCAGGATCCCACCCAGGACACTGAATAACATTTAGTCCTTGTGTCTCCTGGGGCTCCTCGTGGCTGTGACAGCTTCTCAGACTTTATTTCTGGGACTTTCCTTGTTTCTTGTGATTGGATAGGGTGTGGGTTCTGGGAGGGGGACCACGGACGTGAAGGGCTGTGCCCGTCACCTCTTACCCGGCATCCGTGCATCAATGCAGTGACCCCTGGTGGAGGCGTGGCTGTCAGGTTTCTCCCCTGAGAAGTTACTCTATTTCCCCCTCCCCAGGGGGACATCCCTGTGCACAGCCTGCACCGTAGGAAAGGGGAGGTGTTCTCCCTCCCCCAGGGCAGAGGACCTGCATAAACCCTTCTGTGCAGGACACCTGCCTCTTCTCTCCCGTTTATTTATGGAAACTACCTTCTAACAGGGGATTTTGTATTTCAGTGCAGTGTGTCCTTCAGATGTCCGCACGTGGCCACTGCACGAAATTGACTGTCTTTCCTATCAGGTGGATGAGACAGCCCTGCTCTCTCAGGGCCCCTAAGGTCGACAGTCAAATGTTATCTGTGAGAAGCCTCCCCTCCAGGGAGAACTGGTCAGGAGCCCCCGTGGATTCCAAGGCCCTGGGTGGCCCTGCCGTGGCATTCACCACCCTGTACCGGAACCATTTCTTTACCATGTTGGCCTACTACCTGGAGTGTGTCCTCCCAGGGCCAGGACCCCACTGGGCTTGTCCCTAAAGTCCTCAAGACCAGCAGGGGGCTGGGCACAGAGGGGGCACCCGGGGTGGGCTGGGCTCTGCTGAAGCCCCGAGGCGGGGCTCTGGGGCACACGGCCACCAGCCTCCGGGGCTGCCAGGGCAGCTCGGAGGAGCGAGCCAGTTGCTGGCTTCGGACCTCGGGCCTCAGACCATCTCAGCCCACTTGTTTATGGGACGGGACTGCCATGTCCCCTTATTTGCTTCAGAAGACTCTTGGCATCCTTACTGGTCACCTGTAAGAGTGCTTATAGAAACAGACCGTTTTACTAACAGAGACCACTGAGTCATGATGGACGGAGCGGCCGCCCCGGGCAGCACCTGGCCCCAGCTCTGCGCTGAGCTGCCCTCACTCACCAGGTCGGCGGAGACGGCGGTCGTGATCAGTGCGTACGGCCCGCTGACCAGGGCCCCGCTGAGGAGCAGCATGGCTGCGGGAAACAGAAACCGGGGGGGGGGGGGGTTCAGCCAGCAGAACAGGGCCCTGCGGGAGAGCCTCTACCGTCTTAGCTACTCCTAGGTGGGCATCCCGGCATCACACACAGGTCGGGACGCAGGCCGGTGCGGGGAGTGGCCACTGCTGGGGCAAGCGTCACAAACATCTTCCTTCAAACTTGCCCTGAGATGTCTCTAAGTCCAATCACACTTCCCAAAGATCCAAGCGCCATTCAGAGGACCTGGTCCCCGCCTGCTCAAACATGATGGGCAGCCGTGTTGTCAAAAGCCAAGAGGAACTGAGAGCCCCGGCACCCGGGCACAGACGTGATGCGGGTGAGCGCCTGGATGCCACCACCAGCCTGCAGCAGACAGGGCTTCCTCTCTGCACCCACAGCTGCACAGCCCAGCTCCGCATGGGCGGGACCACCGAATTCATAACCTGTCCCCTGGGCTCACTTTCCCAGACCATCCCCTGGTTCACATTCCTCTGTGTGGAAGCTTCTGGACCGAGGGGTCCCATGAAACTCCATGGTCTCCTTGAATCAAGAACCTGCCCTGTGGATAACTTTTAACGGGGTCCCTGCCAATCCCCACTGCTGTCACGTGACAACAGAAAAAGTAGTTACTCAGTGTCAGAGCCATAATTTGATAGCGCTCCTTGCAGGAAGTTAAAAATAGCAACTGTGCCCAGAATGGCAGCTGACAGGGCAGCTAAGAGGGGATGGTGCCCCTGGGCTGGTGATGCTGGGGGTGCAAGTCTCCGCAGCCCTGCCTGCTGCCTTCCGGGGCACGTGCGGCTTCTCTGAGTGCCTCCTGCACTGGGCACCCAGAGCTTCTCACCGCCCCAAGCCCAGGGGCCTGCACCCTCCCACGCTGGCCCTTAAACCTGAGGCCTCAGGTCTGGGAGCAGAAGTCTCTATGGGCCCCTCCCATCTGCCCCCCCATCCCCCAAAGAGGGACACAGGGACAATTGTAGCTACGTCGCACAAACTGCTTCTTTGTTGATTTTTAAGTTTCATTTCACAAGGCTGTGTGGCCAAAAAAAAATGAGTGTGAAAGTAAAGAAAGGCCTCGTAGACTCACCGATGGTGGCTTCTAGACCCATTTTGCTGATGGCAGAGAATACGTAGAGCTGTGAACGGTGTCAAAACCAGAGAAAGACAAAGGTTTACTACGACTAGCTGAGAGATTACCCAGGAATGTGTATTTCTGAAAATGTGTATTTCTGATTCTCAGGCAGCCAACCAGACAGTGGAAACCCCTAGAAAGGAAGGAAGGCCACGCCGCCCTGGCAGGCTACCCAGAGACAGGCAGCCAGAGTGCTCGGCCAACTGCCCCCAGGCTTGTCCCAGACACACAGGGTCTGATCACCCTGTGAGCTGGGAACCCAGGGGGGTGGCCCCACTCTGAGCTCCCAGGGGAGGGGCCTGGGTTTGGGGCAGCTCCCCCTGAGCTCCGTGTCCCCTCCCAGGCTGTCTGTCCCGAACACCAGGGCACTGATTGGGGTTGAGGTGATGCCCGTTCCCAGAAACCAGAGCCCTGAGAGGAGGGGGCCCGGGAAGCTGGCGTGTGTGCTGCGGGGAAGACAGAGAAGCTGTTTCCAGAGGCGCGGGTGCCCTGACGAGGTTGGGGGCTGGTCTCACCGTCGGGGCTGCGAGTAGCAGCATGAGGCCGCAGGTGGAGGCCCTCTTCTCCAGTCGATCGGAGATCACACCTGCCAGGATCCCACCTGCAAGGGAGAGGGAGGGTCCTGAGGGGCGTGTGTGGCCAGGGCAGGACCCCGTGGAGAGGAAGCAGGACCCGTGCTGCAGCAGCGGCAAGAAGAGAACGACCTCCTCTCTAGACCCGTTTCCACAGCCCGTGAGCAGGAAGCCGCCTCAGCGCTGCTGACCCGTGACCCGAGGGCACCCAGGTCTAGGGGTCAGCTTTCAGGCTGGCCTCAAAGCCCCTTTGCCTGTGAGGGTCCTGACACCGCCCGTCTGTCGCCCACATGAGGCGTGCCCTGGTCCCCAGGGAGCACCGCTCACGGCCCAGGATGGGGAGGGACCTGCCCTCAGAGGCCTGGCTCGGGGGCCTCCTGGTTGGAAGTCCACTCCAAGAGCGCGCGGGCCGCTGGCGTTCACGCAGCGCTGCGGTGGTGAAGGCTTCAGTCAAAGTAGAACAAAAATGAACTCACCGAAGATCCCGCCCACATCAAACAAGGTGGAGAGCTCCCCGGCCTTCTTGACATCGAGGTGATCTATTAACGTGACAGCAGAGCGTCACCGCAAGCATGTCGCAGCAGCGTGCGAGCCTCACACAACGCTCTTTTGTTTCAGAAGCATGATTTAAACCAGGCAGCAATGAGATCCATTATCAGATTAGTGTCAAGGCAGTAAGTACAGAGGAGAAGGAAGAAAGAGCCCGCTCTGTGGGCAGACACACAGAAAGGATGGGAACCGAACACTCTTCACCTAAAGGTGCGGATTCCCCTGGCTCCGTCTAAGCAACACCCAGCCTTTGCTCTGGGTCCCCCTCGGGGCAGCCGTGAAGTCAGACACGGCCCGAAGGCGAGGCAGGGCCTGTGGGGCACCACCTGGGGAAGGGGCTGGCCGCAAGAGCGCCCTGGACACGGACCACAGGACCCCCAGCTTTCAGGCCAGGGGCGGCTGGAACCTTCTCCTCCAGAGGAGGAGACCAAGGTGTCCTCATGCTCAGCTCAGGACCCGTCGCTGGACTTAGCCTGAGTTTCAAGCTGGATTCCGGCTGGCCAGCGCCTGGAGGTGGAGCCTCCGGACTGTGAATCAGGTCCTGCCCTTCCCAGAGGCCCAAACGGCACATACCGGGAACTCTGCTCTTTTCAAACAATCCCTCGGACGGTAAACGCCGGTAACTCACGATGTGAGCCCCTCGCAGTCACAGGAGACCGCTGGGGTGGAAGGTGCAGGGCCGGCCTATCAGGCACCCACGTGTCTACACTGTGTGCGCCTTGCCTGCGGTAACGAGTGGAGGTCGCTGGCCCGGGAAGGAAGCTCCGAAGCCCCGCCTTGACGGGGTCCCTGCTAACACGGGGTGGTGCCCTCGCCGCCTCCACAACCTCCATCCCCGAGAAACTCAGCCCTGCGGCCTCGGGCTCACATCCACCTCTGCTGCTCCTACGACACTGCCGGGAGTCACTGGTCTGTACTCTGGAGCCCCCATGTCCCAAATGTCTCCTCTTTCCACGTTCGCTAGAGCCCGCTCCTCCGGGGGACCCTGGTTTCTTCACTTTGTCCTCACACTCCCTGACCCCGGGGCCCAGAGCTCGGGGCCCTCCTTGACCATCCCTGTCCCCATTTAGCCGCGGCTGCGGCCCCTGCACAGGACCTCTCCCCGGAGGAGCTGCTGGTCCCTGCCCATCTTCCCGTGCGTGAGCGCACGGGACAGGGAGTGGGCGTCACTGCGGGGCGAGTCTGCTCTGTCAGAATCTCCGGCTTCAGCCCCTGCTGGACTGGAAATGCGAGACAAACTGTCTGCTCCCCAGAATTAGAGCTCATCTCCAGGAAGCAATTTCCAGGCCAGTTACTCAGCCTTTCTTATCTCAGATCCCTCAGGCCTCTGCTCCTGTTCACCAGCTGCTGTGACCCAAAGTCTGACGCAGCCTACATTAAAAGTATGCTGCCCCAGATAGGAAGAACCCCATGGAATTTGTAGCCAAGCTGGGATATACCGTGCCAACCCTTTAAACCCCATACAGGTTATCATCATGGCAATGAAACGTTGCTGTCTGAATTCTTTTTGTCTGTACATTTCTACTAATCATGTTGTTTGATTCAAAAGCATCATGCATCCCTTTCCTTTCCAAGACTATAGACACCAGTGGATAAAAGGGAGTCCCGATCACAGACCCTGCACAGAACTTCCCAGCTGTGACGCTCGCAACACGTACTCACCTACGTTTGTGATGTACAGTGGAAGCCAGAAGAGGAAGGTATAGCTGACCAACTTGGCAAACAGGAGACACAGAGAGAACTCTATCACGCCCTGAAAGAGAGAGAGAGCAGGGGTTCACCCCGAAAGTGGACCCAGCAGGTTTGCTGAAATATGCAATAGAATACACAGCACTTCATTCCCATAAAAACAGGCCACGTCCTGGGTCTGGCTTTGGCACCTCCAGATGCACGGATACTGTACTGCTGTGGAGGACGTGAGGTAACTGGAGAACTGACCGATATGGACTCTTACCTTTTAAGGTTGAAATTCAATGTCTTTACATCAGGTCAGAGTCAATAAAAATACTACTGGTTTAATTCTCACACCATATCTCGCTGAAACTTAGCTATTAAAGGGGTTCTCAAAGGGCACAGACGTCGTGCAGGGTCATCTAGTTACTGAGTATTTACTGGCTATTTCTTTTCCCCTAAAACTGAAGTCACTGCAAAGGACAGAGATCTGGAAACACACAGCACAAACGATTCCTACCATCCTGTAAGATACACAGGCTACCTCCGCCTGCCTGGGACTAAGCAAGCTAGTGCGTGTTGGGGAAACACCCACGGAACCAGGCAGAACCCTGCAACGCCCCCTCCCCGTCCAAGTACAAAGGCCCCTGCATGCACCTGCCTCTTGTTTGTAGAGAAGCTGAAGTTTCCTAGGCCTCCCTGAGTCACAGGGAATAGGCTTGAGCTGTTAGTAACCAGGATAGAGTCACAGAATCTTTCAGTGTCTGATGCACATTCCCGAGTTGTTTTACAGATACTGTAACTGCCACCAGAGGAAAAAGCTGACTGCGTGGTGACCAGACTGTAGCCATGACAACGCTGCTCCATCTTCAGCTGTACTGGATCTACGGTTAGCACAGTTCTGAGAACTGGCCTCAAGAGAATGGGATTAACACTACTGCACATAATAATCTCTGTCTTTGTGGGCATCAAAATATTGGGTGGACCAAAAAATTCATTTGGGTCTTTCCATAAGGTGTTATGGAAAAACCTGAACGAACTTTTTGGCCAACCCAATAACTGTAGCTTGTTCTGCCCATGCACATAAGCAGGCAACTAAAATTGTCAGCAGAGAGGTGCCCCATGTCAACTTCTCCCACTCTGAGAACATGGCATCCTATGTCAGCATGAAGAAGTTATAGAAGATGGACCTTCCCCCATGAACTCATAGAAATGGGATGATGTTCTGACAAGGGGGATCTGTCAGCAGCTTTTGGAAGGAAAGAGCTCTCTGCAGGAGATGCCCCTTCTCTCATCACTTTAGCAGAGCTGTACTGTAACTAACCTTAAACCAGGCACCCCATGGTCTACGCGTCTCTGGCCTAAGCACACCTGTCAAATCTTTTGATTACACAATACCTTGCCTAACCTGTTGGTTCTTTCCTAGATCAAAGAAGTAAAAATGAAGAATAAGTAATTAACATCAATGGATGACCAGATCTCTTCCTTAGCTTCCCTGTCCATAAGCCTGTGAACAAATTGTGTGAACAAGAGCATCTAAAGAAAGATCACAAGAAGTCAACAAGCCTGCACACAAGCCTGCACACACTGGGGGATGGTGACAACTCTGACCCCTTATCTCAATGATTAACTGGGATTTCTTCTCCTTTTCTCTTTAAAAACGTTCATGGCCAAGCAGAATCTTTGGAGGTGGTTTTGGGGACATGAGTCTGCCTTCTCCCCGGCTGTCAGCTTTTCTGGTTAAAGCGACTTTCCGTTCTAACCAACACTTGCCTCTCGAGTATTGATTTCCGAGGGCAAGCAGCAGAACTGGAGTTTGGTTAACACCCAAAAGGGAGACGTAGATCTCAGTGAGGACACTGAGGTTTGGAGTCTCACGGCTACTGTGAAACGCTTGTTTGTGTTCCATCTTATGTCTGCGTTTACAAAGAGGTGGCCCTTGTGAGACAGTAAGTCCAGATATCACTTGGGAAATTTGAGTGAGAAATCAGGTAACACTAAGGTACTGACTCCCTCCCCTGCTCCTCCCAGGTTATACTGCATAGTTACGAACATCCCTCGAAACTAGGCAAAGCACACAATATGCAATTCATGGCAGTGCCTTTGAAATTAAGCAAGTTATATGTTTTCACAGTCAGACCCAGTATGAGGGTGTGTGTGGGTGGGGTACTGCATGCTTACCATGTGCCTGGCATTGTGCTTACTGTGTAGTTAATGATCTCATTTGATCCCCAGAACAGCATTAAGTAGTAATTCAGGTCCTGAGCCTGTATTACAGTGAGGAAATGGAGGCCCAGAGTGGTTAACACCCTTGCCAGGCACACCCAGCTCACCTGCAGCAGGGCCAGGTCAGGCCAGGCCAGGGCTCTGAAGCCTGTTCTCTCCACCACCCCACTTCTATTTATAGCGTGCACCCTACTTTTTAGCAAAAGTATTTGAGGTGCCTACACAATAAGGTACAACAGAAAAGTTACTTGTTGTTATTAGCAACATTTAAAAAATAACTTTTTAATTTAGAACCAGCATGTCCTCTGGCCAGCCCACAGAGATGTCCAGGCCTGGCCTTCAACATTCTCTTCTGGCAGGAAACCGGCAACAGGGTCCTCCACAGCCCACACTGGCAGAAGTTTCTGTTCTAAAGCCGAAGTTCTCAGTTCTTTCGTTTCTGGGCCGTGATTCTAAGGCTCCGGGTGTACTGTTTAAGCTGTTTAAGCTCCCACACGGTCGCTACGGAGCTTCTGGGTTCTCTCTGCTGGTTTTCCCCGAGGCCAGCGATCTTCCTGTATGAGACTCACGTCTGTTCCCCTGGATAGGACCCAAGGGCAGGAGCCCAGGTGTTTCTGAGTGTGGCCCATGGGGCCGTCCATGCCGGCCCCCAGGGGCGGCGTGTGTTCCCTCCTCTCATCCTGCCTCTGTTCCTGGCTCTGTCTTCAGCACCCTCCACGGCTCCCCGTCAGCAGAACACAGCTCCTCAGAGCCCTCCGCATGGCTCCCCAGATGCTCTGCTGAGGGAGCCCATGAATTTCGTATACATACTATACACACACAATATATTTTATAACTATTAAGAGGCTAACACAACTCTGCAGCCTTATTCGTTCCTGAGCTGACCTGTCCGCAACTTCTGGTTCATGCTATGGATTTCTAATTTATGGATTACGTGATCCGGAGAATCACGGATTTCTCTTTTTAAGCTTGGTTATCAACAGGCCAGTTTCTGTTCATAGGGAGCATAAATGCCCCCTTTTGAAACTCTCCTGGACACGTGTAACTCACGGGAATTTTCAAGGCCCCTACGAAGCTGATGGCCGCGATGCCGCCGCCGCCGTCTGCCGGGAGAACGACCACGTGGTTCTGGTGGCCGGAGCGCTTTCCATCCGACAGCAGTAAGCACTGCATCTCTGGGTCCTAGAGACAGATCCCGTAGAAACGATAAAAGAAAAGAAAAGAAAAGGTGTCACCAGGTAGTCTGCTTGGTTGAGGTGTGGTAAGCTGCCCCACTAAAGGCCTTGGGGAACGCCTTGGGTGACATCTGCACTGTGGCCATTGCTTTATGGCCATTAACATTCACGTGGTTTTGGGAAATACTAACTAAAAACACACAAAATCCTATCCTTTGACCCAACAATTCTAGGACTCTGTGAAAAATAATTTGGGAAGTGGAAAAATACTTATATGATAAAATTAATGTCACACCATCATTGAGAAAAATTGCTAAAGTACATCCATATAAATATCTTGCAGTTGTAAAAAAAAAAGTTTGTGAGATTTGATGACATAGGAAGGTGCTTATGATACATTAAGTAATAAGACATCATTCAAAAGCACATTTTCATCACGATCTCAAAGAATGTTTAAATATGTACCTCTGTAAGTAGGTAACTAAAGGATCTATTTATAGGAAGAAAGAAGCTAAATTCTAAACCGACAATGGTTATCACTGAATGGGAGAATTACATGTAATTTGTATGAAATGTCGATAAATTCTTTCCATGATCCTGTATTTTTTAAGGAGTTCACAAAGGACATACATGATCAAAAACAATATTATTTTAAAATTCATAAACAAATTCCACTATTTCATAAATTCTGATTCCAGACATCCCTAAAGGACAAAGTTTATCTTCATTAGGGCTTCCCTGGTGGCGCAGTGGTTCAGAGTCCACCTGCCGATGCAGGGGACGCGGGTTCGTGCCCTGGTCCGGGAAGATCCCACATGCCGCGGAGCGGCTGGGCCCATGAGCCATGGCCGCTGAGCCTGTGCATCCGGAGCCTGTGCTCCGCAACGGGAGAGGCCACAACAGTGAGAGGCCTGCGTACCGCAAAAAAAAAAAAAGTTTATCTTCATTAAAACAAAGAACTGTGGTCCTCAACTCTGGGTGGGATATCAAGTCAGAGCAAGGATGATCTAAAAGTGTCCTTCGTGAGTGCACTATACAGGTCAAGGATTGAAAAAGCAATGTTTCTATGTATATTGGACTTACCACAAAACCAAATAGGTTTTATTGTACTTATCTCACTATAATCTACACGAGTTAGATTAAAAAATGCAGTTAAATTAAAAAAAAAAGGCACTGCATTGCGGTATCCCACTGTTGATATTAGAATTCTCTTCCGGTGAAAGACAGAAATTGGGCAACAGGCTGGCAGGTTACAGCAACCGCAGCCCTACGGGCACTGAGCACACAGCGCCTCAGCTCTCGGGCAGCAAGGGCTACATCACCGAGAAGCCCAGTGCCCGCCACGACTCAGGCATTGAGAACCGGCCTTTGGTGAACATGGTCGCAGGTAACCATGTGCTCTGATGTTTCAGGACGCAGAACATCCTCCTGACGACCATTCCGCAAAGGTATATGAAAACTGAGAATTATGATTTGCGTTTGGAAATAAAGTTTTCTCTCATGAATTACGCCGGCTGTCCAGTGTAGGAGATGAAATCTTTAGTTCTCAACCCTGGCATCTCCTGGGGGCTCTGGGAGACCCCAGTGCCCAGGCTGTACCCCACACCGAATACAGCAGTCTCAGGGGCAGGCCCCAGGAGAGCCCGATGTGTAGTCCAGGCTGAGAACCACAGGACAGACTTCTTTAACACGAAGTGGTCTGACTGGTAGACCATGAAATACAGCCAGATAAAGAGAAAAAAGAAAGTCAAGAGACTCTGCTCAGCCAGGACAGTAGTAACTGCAGGTCCAGCACAGAAACCCACCAGGTCACAGCACTGGGTCAGCACCTGGCCCTTCCTTGCTCTGTAAACTGGGCTGGTTTAAAGCCCTGGTCCAGCCCCTCTGCTCTAAGCCACGAGCAGCCCCTCAGGCAGGCAGGGAAGGCCCTGTCTTCGTTGAGGATGGGCCTCCTGCCCACACCTGCTCATCCTTTATGCACAGTCTGGGGGGTGGGGGCCGTCCCAGCCACCCAAGTCCAGTCTTTTGCAGTGTCTGGAGGAGACAGAGGGATGCGTGAGGTCATGGCGGGTTTTCCAAAGCAAATCAGGAGAGCAAGGCTGCCTCTTCCTCAGAGCCAACAGGGACCTGCTGGGCGGACAGGGCAGGGGAAGCGGTGTGCCTGGAGCCCCCGGGGGATCTGCTGGGATGGGGAGCCCTCAGTGGGCTGGGGGCTTATTCAGCTGGGGACCCTCCTCTGAGGTTTATACATGCACAGAGTGAAAGGGCTCCGTGTGATAGAGCAAACGCACACGGGGCGTTTGCACGAATGACGGCTCAGCCCTGCCTCAGCGCGTGCTGGCCTCAGATGGAGTCGCACTGGCACGCCGGGTGGAGAAACCTTCAGCGTCAAAACACCCACTCAGCGGTCCTGAAGTGGCTGCTGAGCCACAGCCAATCAGAAAGGCCCTCAGAGGGGTGGGAGAGGGTTGGACTGGGAGGTTGGGGTTAGCAGGTGGAAACTGGTATATAGAGAATGGATAAACAACAAGGTCCTCCTGTAGAGCACAGGGTACTCTAGTCAATATCCTGTGATAAACCATAATGGAAAAGAATATGAAAAAGAATATACATGTATGTATAACTGAGTCACTTTGCTGTACAGCAGAAACTAACACGACGTCGTAATTCAACTATATGTCAAAGAAAATAAATTTTTTAAAAAGATAAACAAAAATAAATAAAAATAAAAAATAAGAACACAAAATGGAAAGAATTTAAAAAGATAAAGACCCTAGAGAAGCTGAGGATGACATGAAGGACATGTGACTACAAAGACGACAGAGGTCGACATCCCCAAGATGACACGGTAAACACCCACGAGGGCTGGACGCAGGTCCGCCGCGTGGCGAGAGACCCCGGAGCCTCTTTCTCTTTGCTCACATTCTCTTCCTTGCCCACCCCCTTCTTTATGTATTTCCCCACAAAGTCTAAGAACCATGCCTGGCATAGAAGGGAATTAAGCAGTCCCAGGTGAAAAGCAGTGGGGATCAGGGTCCTGGGTAAGGCTCCACTCCGAGCCCATGGATCTGAGCCAGGTCACGCGGGGAAAGGTGACACCAGTGTGTCTTGCCAAACGTGTGGGACATCCTGCCTGCTGACCCAGGAGCCACCTCCAGCACCTGAGCTCTCCACGCTACGGAAGGGCGGGGACCACACAAATCCTGGTTAGCGCGCAGGGGCCAGCTGAAAGGGGACAGCCGTCCACTGCGGCCAACACCTGCCCGGTCATGTCCACATCAAAGTCAGCCTGTGGCGTGGCCGGGCCTGAAACAGGACCTACGAGGGCCTCTAAATACGTAACTGTCTCTTTGGTGACATGTTAGTAAATAGACTTTAATAGAAGGAACAGAAAAGAGGAAGAGGGAAGTTATGCTCAGAAGAGAGCTAGCTTTACTGGTCAGTAACTACATTAGAACACAGAGAAAAGATAAGTCTTCAGTAACAAGCGGAGAGGAATTATAGCCATTTGGACATTGATTAAGACCTGATGCTATGGACTGACATTTGTGTTCCCCCAAAATCTGTATGTTGAACCCCCATCTCTAATATGATGGTATTAGGAGGTGGGGTCTTTGGGAGGTAATGAGGCCATGTGGGTGGAGCCCGCATGATGGGATTAATACCCTTATAGGAAGAGACCGCAGAGAACTTGCTTCTCTCCCTGCTCTTTCACCTGAGGATCCACAGAGAAGGTGGCTGCCTACCAGCCAGGAAGAAGCCTCTCACCAGACATCAGACCTGCTGGTGCCTTGATCTGGGACTTCCCAGCCTCCAGAAACAAACGTTTGAAATGCGAGAAGTAAATGTTTACTGTTCAAGCCACCCAGTCTAGGGTATTTTTGTTACAGCAGCCCAATCTAAGACACCTGCTTCTGATGCAAACTCAGAAGTGAGTAGAGATTTTAAAGCATTTCAGTTGAATTTCACTAAGATCTAAGAACCAAGATGTATGAGACACCATGTTTCCCTCTTCCGTTATTTCAACCACCAGAAATAACTTCCTTGGGCACTAAAGAAAAAAAAGTAAGAAGCCTGTTTAGCACATTTATCCTTTAAGCTAACGGATTTAAAAAGAAAAGAGAATATCTTATACTTTCAAGAATTAAAACCAAACCTAAAATGCCCTTGCGGCTCCATGCGGTCAGCTAGGCAGAAGCAATGGGAGGAATTTCTTGGAAGGACAGTCATCCCTTGGTACCCGGGATCTGCAGGGGGTTGGTCCCAGGGATCCCCCGCGGAGACCAAAATCTGCAGACGCTCAAGTCCCTCACGTACAATGGCTTAGTACAGTCAGCCCTTGTATGGGCGGGTGCGCATCTGGGGATACGAGGCTGACTGCATCTTGAAAGGAGAGGGGAGGGTGAGCCCAGCGCTGGGGAAGAGCCCTGGACTGCATCCTGGCCTCCCCACTTGTGAACGGGTGGAGGGCTGGAAGTCGACTTTCTATGTTGCCTTCGGGTCGCTCTCATTCCCAGACCACCTACGCTCTCTCCACCTGAAACCCCCTTGGGCCACGTGTGTGCAGACTCACTCCTCACCTCCTTGACAGCTCCACGCAAAGCCACCAGCTTCGGGAAGCGCCCAACACCAGGCCTGAATTAGTGCCTGCTCAGTCCTCTGGGTGGCTCTGTCTGCTGCTGGTTTTCTCTCTACCCCACACTCGTCCCGCCCCAGGATGCGAGTTCCACAGGACACTGGGACTGATGTCCGTGGCACCGGTGCTGCAACCCTGAATGCTGCAGACAGCTGTCGGATGAATGAATCGCTTACAAATTGGATTCACAAACTAACAAAGGCAAACTGAAGAAATACAAGACCCTGGATGTCTGCGACAGATGTCGCTGAGGCAGGACTCTGCCTTCCTGCCTTCCTGCCAAGCGGCCTCGTGTGCAACTCACCAGAGATTTGTTCCTCTCCTCGGTTAGCGCTTGCTTCTGTGGCCGGAATCTGTGCGTGCCGTTCTCGTAGCTTTTTGGATGCTGGGAGAAAAAAATGTAGTTAGAGCAATTACCGAATCAATGGACAGAAATTACACCTAGACTCACTGCAGCAAGGACACGAAATATCTTCACAAAAATGCTATCAAGGGAAAATAAGACAAATGATTAAAACAAAACAAAGGCTAATCAGTTTAATCTCAAGGCTCCAGACCCTCAGATAACGGAGGGTGAAAATCAAATCCTTTCCTGAAGAATAATCCAAGACCGAGGAATAAAGAAACGTAAAACTGCCAGTGAACGCAACTTAACTCTCCTTAACGGCTTTGGCATTTCTAAACGACTTTTCCTCTAACCAGTGAAAAACACAGTCACTTCCTACAACAGCAGATCGATTCAGAAGGAAGAAAACACCCTCCATATAGAAGGAGAGCATGGCTTGCCGGACAAGACAGAGCTCGACCACTGGAGCCATGGGGTGCGCGCGCGTGTGTGTGTGTCTGTACGATGAACGTATGTTTTAATTTCTCTTGGATATACCTAGGAGTGAAATTGCTGGGTCATGTGGTGACTCTATGCTTAACCTTTTGAGGAATTGCCAGACTGTTTTCCAAAGTGGTTGCACCGTTTTAACATCCCCACCAGCAGTGTATGAGGGTTCCGGTTTACTATTATCTGTCTTTTTGATTCTAGCCATCTTAGTGGGTCTGAATTTGTGATTTTGTGATTTTGATTACACTTCCCTGATGGCCAATGAAGCTAAACACCTTTTCATGTGCTTACTGGCCATTTATTTATCTTCTCTGGCAAAATGTCTCTTCAGATCCTTTGCCCCTTTTTAAACTAGCTTGTCTTTTTATTACCGAGTTCTAAGTGTTCTTTATGTATTCTAGATACAAGTCTTTCATCAGATATACGATTTGCACATATTGTCTCCCATTCTTTGGGTTGTATTTTCACTTTCTTGATAGTACCCTTTGAAGCATAAAAGCTTTAAATTCAGTGAAGTCCAATTTATCTATTTTTCCTTCCACCCCTTGTGCTTTTGGTGTCATATCTAAGAAGGCTTTGCTTAATCCAAGGTCATGAAGATGTCCTCCTATATTTTCTTCTAGGAGTTTTATAGTTTTAGCTCTCACATTTAGGTCTTTGATGCATTTAAATGTTGTGTACGCCGTGACAAACAGTTCCCAATTCACTCTTTGCCTGTGGATACCCAGCTGTCCCAGCACCACATGTTAAAAAGATTACCCTTTCCCCACTGAATGGTCCTAGCGCCTTGTCAAAAAACAACTGACCATAAGTATGAGGGTCTAATTTCTGAATTCAGTTCTATTCCATTGATCTGTATGTCTACCCTTACGACAGTAATACAGAGTCTTGAATACTGCAGCTTTGTAATAAGTTTTGAAATTGGGAACTCGGTTCTTTTTCAGGATTCCTTTGGCCTCTCGGGATTCCTTAAATTTTCATATGAAATCAGGGATCGGCTTGTCAATTTCTGCCAAGAAGCCAGCTGGGGTTTCGATATAGATTACACTGAATCCGTAGATCGATTTGGGGCAATACTGCCATCTTGACAGTATTAAATCTTCCTGTCAGTGAACACAGGGTGCCTGTTCATTTATTTAGGTCTTCTTTAACTTCTTTCGACAATGTTTTGTAGTTTGCAGTGTATCAGTCTTGTGCTTCCTTGGTTAAATTTATTCCTGAGTGTTTCATTCCTTTTGATGCTGCTGTTAATGAAGTTTTTTTATTTTCGTTTTTGGATTGTTCATGGCTAACGTATAGAAATAGAATTGATGTTTATATACTGATCTTGTATCCTGCAACCTTGCTAATTTTTTAATTAGCTCGAATAGGTTTTTGGTGGATTCCTTGGGATTTTCTATATACAAGATCACGTCATCTGCTAACAGAGGCACTTTTACTTCTTCTTGTCCAATCTGCACGTCTCTTATTTCACTTTCTTGCCTAAATGCTCTGGCTAGAACCTCCTGTACAACGTTAAGTAGAAATGGTGAGAGCAGGTATCTTTTGTCTTGTGCCTGACGTTACAGGGAAAGTGTCCAAGCTTTCACCATTAAGTATGACGTTAGCTATGGCTTTTTTTTTTTTTTTTTTCTGCGGTACTTGGGCCTCTCACTGTCGTGGCCTCTCCCGTTGCGGAGGACAGGCTCCAGATGCGCAGGCTCAGCGGCCATGGCTCACGGGCCCAGCCGCTCCGCGGCATGGGGGATCTTCCCGGACCGGGGCACGAACCCGTGTCCCCTGCATCGGCAGGCGGACTCTCAACCACTGCGCCACCAGGGAAGCCCAGCTGTGGCTTTTGATAGTCTTTATCTGGTGGAGGCAGTTCCTTTCCGGTCCTAGTTTGCTGAGTGTTGCATTAGGAAGGGGTGCTGGATTTTGTCGAATGCTTTTTCTGCTTCTACTGAAAGGACCCTGTGGTTTTTGTCCTGTATGCTATTCATGTGGAGTATTACATTAACTGATTTTCAGATGTTAAACCAACTGTATATTCCTGGAATAAATCCCATTTGATCATGATATTTAATCCTTTTTATACGTTGCTGGGTTAGTGTTTTGTTGAGTTTTGCGTGCACATTCATAAGAGAGATTGGTCTCTAGTTTTCTTGTGATGTCTCCTTACGTTATCAGGATAATACCTCAGAGAGTGAATGGGGAGTGTTCTCTTATTTTTTGGAAGAGTTTGTGAATAGTTGGTGCTAATTTTTCTTTAAATGTCTGACAGAATTCACCAATGAAGCCATCTAGTCCTGGAATTTTCTTTGTAGTCAATTTTTAAATTAATAATTCAGTTTCTTTCCTTGTTATAGGTGTATTCAGATTTTCTATCTCAAGTCAGTTTTGGTAGTTTACATCTTTCTAGGAATTTTCCCATTTATTCTAAGTTATCTAACTTGTTAGCATACAGTTGTTCATAGTATTCCTTTATAATTCTTTTTCTTTCTGTGAAGTTGGCAGTAACGTCCCCTCTCTCATTCCAGATTTTGGTAATTTGAATCTTTTTTTCCTGGTCAGTCTAAAGGATTGTCAATTTTGTTGATCTTTTCGAAGAACAAATTTTGGCTTGTGGACAAAAAATGTTGCCTGCCATTTCAGTAAACAAAGAATGTTGCTGCCACCAAGCTATCAGCCACTGCAGTCCCCACCTCAGCCCCTCCCAACTGTGTGCCCTGAGGGGAATTCAGGAAGGAGAGAAACTGGATACTGGCCCTAGATCGTTAAGATGCGTATCTAAGGAATAATTTCAATGAGCCCAGACCCCTGCATCTCCCTATACAGAGACAAGCAATAAAATCATTAACTTGAGATGTCTGCTTTTTGTGATTAACAGTAATCTTTCTCGATGTTTGACTACATGGCCTTTTTTTTTTTTTTTTTTTCAGCAAAAGCTCCTATATATCCTGGCTCCTACCTCAGCTCTTTGGAACAGTTCCTCAGAGCTACGGAGAGGCTGTCTCCTGGGCTACAGTCCTCAGTAAGGTCCCTGAATAAACATTACTCACAACTTTGAGGTTGTGTGTTTTTTCAGTTGTCAGGCTTAATTGACTATCTCTTTTTTTTTTTTTTCTATTCTTTACTGTTGGTCTCTAGATGTGCTAATGGTATAGTAACTTTTTTTTCTTTTTTTTTTTTTTTTGCGGTACGTGGGCCTCTCACTGCTGTGGCCTCTCCCGTCGCGGAGCACAGGCTCCGGACGCGCAGGCTCAGCGGCCATGGCTCACGGGCCCAGCCGCTCCGCGGCATGTGGGATCTTCCCTGACCGGGGCACGAACCCGTGTCCCCTGCATCAGCAGGCAGCCTCTCAACCACTGCGCCACCAGGGAAGCCCCAGTAATGTTTTTTGTTGTTTGTTTGTTTTTAATAAAAGAGTCCTTAGAGTTTAGAAACATATACTGAAATAGTTGGAGACAAAATAATATGATGATTGGTATTTGCTTACAAAATAAATCATGAGGAGACGGAGGGAGTATTAGAAGGGGTACTGATGAAATAAGACTGGCAGGGTGATGGGCACATGCGGGTTCATGATACTATTCTTTTTACCTTTTTACGTGTTTTAAAATTTCCATAATGAAAACTTTAAAGAAATGGAAAGGAGAAGAACTTGATGCTGAAAATAACACCTTCAGATGGGAAATTCCCAGGACACGGCTCTACTTAGAAGTCAGCACCTGTGAGATGTCTTGCAAGTGCATCCGGCTTTGCACGGAAGCTCTGCTTACGATAAGGGGGAGGTGCAAACGGACAGAGCGGACAGAGAACCAGCCCAGCTCGCCCTCACTTCCCCAGGCTCTGGGGCCCCTCGAGAAGGCCCTGTGACACCGGTCTCTCCAGGGCCCTACAGGAAGTGAGTAGAGTTCCTGTGGGAAAGAGAACTTTGGGGCTGTGGCAGAAGCTGATGAAACGCCCCCAGAAATCAGTCCAATCTCTCCCTCTGACTGACCCCTGTGAGGAAGAAAGAGGAAGAGGAAGCCCAGCTCCATGGGCCACCCTGCCCCATGTACCCTGGGGAGGCCCAGTGAGCTGTCAGGGAGGATTCAGCGGGGAAAGCTTGGGCCCCAGGTCACACACACAAGTGCAGGAATGCCTCTAGCACAGGTATGCTTTCCCGTACGTCTGAAGCTGTGCACAAGGATGACTCCATACACACATGTGCACATGCACGCACACACACACACACACACACACACAGAGCTGACGGGCCTGGGGATGGATGGGCCACGGGGCTGATGGAAGGAGGAGTTGGGACGAGTCCTCGGAATCCAGCCTGTCCAACGGGCGGACAGTGGTTCTCTGACTGACACAGGGAATGCCAGGGGCCTAGCAAGTTTATGGGGTGAAATAAAGAGAACATTCTGGTCATGTTAAGTCTGGGAAGACACCCAGACGCCTCTGTGGGGATGTCGGGTGGGCAGTGTGACCTATGACCATGGAGCTCAGGGCAGAGGACCACGCTGGGGACTGCACATCAATGCACACAGAGGTGCCGTGAGGATGCTGAAAGCCCCAGGCCCACGCAGGATCTCCTACGGTGAGAGCAGGAAGAGGGGAGAAGGGGCCAAGGACCGGGCCGGGGGGGGCTCCCATGTTTGGGGGTCTGCCAGAGTAGGGCCAGCAAAGAGCTCTGCATGTTACCAGAGAAGCAGGAGAGCATGTTACGAGCCCCCAAAGGGAGCATCTCATGGAGGGAGGAGACCACCGCGTCACACGCTGGTGACAGGTCAGGGGTGAGGCCAGAGCGCTGACCACGTGCGGCCAGACCGTGCTGCTGGGGGCCCTGGCGGGTGGCTTTGGCAGAGCGGTGGAGGCCAGAGGACAGGAGGGGAGCCGGGAGAGGGAAGTCAGGGAGCACGACTCGGGGGGTCTACCCTAAGGTTAAGCAGGAAACCGGGTGCAAGGGCGACACCCCTGCTGGGAGTGACAGAGGAGAGAGGGCAAGCCGAAGGCCAGGGGCGGGGAGCTGGCCTGGGCAGCTCCCAGAGTTAGTTATCTGGGGGTAGGCAGAGACCTCTGTGGACGCCGGCAGGGCAAGCGCCCTTCCAGGGCCGCGAAGACCGCAGGGTTGCTCAGCAGCTGGGCGTGAGCAGGTCAGGGGCGGTAAGCAGTGACAATGACTCAGGGAATGTGGTCCTGGTGCTGGGCGGTCCTAGCGGGCCACCTGCCAGGTGTGGACGCCAGGTTCAAGTGACGTCAGCCAGCTTAGCTTTGCGTCAGCCTGTAGTCACACCCACCCAGGAAAAGTATGATGTCCCTGCTCCTCGTGAGGCCCGGCCGGTCCCCAGCTCCTGGTCGCTCTCTGAGTCCCTAACCCAGACTGCACCAAGCTCCTCGTCTGGTTTTGGTTGTTATCATTATGATTAATCTTCTTCTAAAACTGCCCGTATTTTCAGGGCAGGACCTCTGTCCACACTTTGTTACCCACTGACAGGACAGGAAGGGCCAGGCTGGTGACAGTCATCATCACAGCACACTGAGGACACGAGAAGCAGGGAGCACGTCCTTACCGTGGCCGGGGAGGAAGAGCAGGCGACGTCCTTCGGATCTGAAACACCAAACACGGAACAGTGTGAACCAGGGCTGGCTGCTTCCTCCGACACAAGAACGTAAACCAAAGCAAGGCACCCTCTGATGCTGTTACTACATCAGCAACAATTTCAGAAAAAGACAATGCACGAGGCAGCACGTTTGGTGGGGTGAGGGCGCAGCTCGGCCACCCCCGCGAGAACCCACACGCGCCCCTTCCCTCACGTGGGCCCTGTGACTGCCTGATCCCCACGCACTGAAGCCGGGAGGGTACGAAACCAGCACCGACAAACGCAAATCGTCACGAATATGAAGGCTGCTTTGCAACATGGAAAATAGTTTACAAATAAAAATAAGCAGAGCTTAAATACACTATGGTGACGAGCCGTGTAAGGTACGTGTAAAGGACGTAAGTATCAGAAGGAACTAGAAAAACATGACCCGCAGATCAGAGTAGCGGGGCTCTGAATAACGTTTGGGATGAGTCATTTAATGTTATGGAATTAACTAGAAGGAAAATTAGCAGGCACAAAACATCGACCTTGAAATAGAACAAAATGCCTTTTACCTAAATGCAAGGAGGTGTGAAATAAAATTCGCGTTTTACGGCAGGACAAGAAACACGTGCACATCGAAATGCTTCTCTGCCCTTGGGCGTCCTCTGCCCCGCACCGTGCATCGTGTATCCACAGGAGGCATCAACCCAACCTCCCCCACGAGCAGGAATACCTGTGCAGCCTAGAGGAGCAACGTTCCCCCAGCATCCACAGGACAACTCCTTAAACATTCCTTACTGATCCCGTAAGGGACCACGTGACCCACCACGATGCCTCTTAGACCTGGATTATGTAAACTGTCAATAATCCCTCTGTCTCAGAAAGCTTACATAACTGTGTCTTGACTTCTCATGGGCGGAACAGTCCTCAGAGCTTTCTGAGATGCTCTTCCCGGGTTACAATCCTCAAATTCAGCTTGAATAAAATGTCCCATTGTTTTCTTAGATCCACTGCTTAACTTTTTGTCGACAGAGGGAAGGACATGTGGAAGCGGACAGAACCAGAAGCGAGGCTTTCTTCATCTTCGTACTTTAAGATCACGCTGGTGTGACCCGGGAACGAGAGCCGGGCTCAGGGCCACGAGTCGCCCTGGCCAGCGAACTCCACTTCTTGAGAATCTAGACAGCCGCCTTGTTAACAGCTTTGCTCCTTCCCCATCACCCAGAACCCGGGTCTTTTTTTATAAGTTTTGGTGAGACAGTTTAACCACCCTGAAACACAAACCGAGCCACAGGGCTTTCAACTTCCCACAGCGGCGTTCCCTCCCGCGAGATAGAGGGTGACACCGCGGAGGGGCCCCTGGACCACATGTGCTCCTGGGCTGGGGGCTCCTCCCCGCCGCCCTCTGCGGAGGGTGGCTGGGGAGCCCTGATGGTCCCGATGGCCCTGGGGATGTGCAGTGACATCAGCAGTTCCCCAGCCCGTGGCTTTCCCCAGCTGTGCTGTGAGCCCCAGGGTCAGTCTCCATGGGGTGCGGCTGGTCCCCAGGACGTGGCTTTTCCTGGGCTTTCACCCTGCAGGACATTAGCACCAGTGACCCTTGGCTGGGACACGTCTGAGGGCAGCTTCCCCTGGAGGGGCCTGTGGATGGGGTGCCCTGTCCCTTGGGCCCAGCCCCGGCAGGAAGGGGGAACAGGGCCGAGCCGGTCCCTCGCTGCTGGTCACGAGAAGGGGCGCTCCTGGGGCTTTCCCGCCCACCCTGCAGTAGGGGATTAGGGAGCGGGAGGGAGCGGAAGTAAGCCACCGAAACGCACGTGGATCCGGTCTCTCCTCTCTGCAGTGTTCTGCTCTCGGACACAGGATGTGCTGGTCACTGCTTGCAGCTGGCTTTCATCATCACTCATGCGGACACCACCTCCTTGTTACCAGGGGGAGTACAGGTACCAATCCTCTCAGCAGAGAGGGCCCGGCGGTCTGATTCTCGTTCCGCCGTGGAGGGTCTGTTAGAGCAACAGGCCTGTGCCTGCGGTGGCCTCAGGCTGACAGGTGACGTCGGGCCCAGGAGGAGAGGCCTTGTTCACAAGGGCCCGGCTCGGGCTGCGCGAGGAGGAGTAAGGGTGTCTGAGCCTGCGAACCGGCTTCTCTCCTTTCGCTGAGACACTCGTGGACAGGGGGCCCTGGGTGCCGGGTCCCAGCGTGGGAGGGTTAGGGGGCCACAGAAACGCCTCCTCCTGTGAGGCCGGCTGCAGGAGCCGCCCCCAGAGGAAAGTGTCAGAGGCACGGTCGGCGGGCGTCCTGTCCAAGTCATGTGCGCAGAGCAGTGCCTCCAGAGCCCGAGCTCAAGAGGAAGACGTTCAGCGAGAAGGTGGAGAAACGCCAAGTCCGGAAGGTGCCCCCGGCCGCACAAGCTGGGCCCTGGTGAGCTGGGCGGAGGCCAGGCAAGGAAAGCAGCAGCCGCGGGCGGTCGGACAAAGCCGGCCAGTCCCGGGGAAAGGTGACCGGCCCACGGCGGAGAGAGCGAGGACCAGGTGACTGAGCGATGCTCGCGGGACACCAGAGAGCCCTGCCCCAGCCATGGGGACAGCGGGAGGGGAGCGCACGGGTGAGGGCAGGAAAGGAGGCCCAGTGGGAGGAAATCTTTGGCGGCCTCATGAAGAACGGGGGCACGGAACTCAACGGACGATCCTGCACAACCCTGACCATGTTTACCTTGGACACCTAACAGCTAAAGGCTAAGACTCCAGGTGAAAAGAACCGACACGGCCCAGGGGAATGCGATGGGCTGAGGGAGGAGGGGAGAACGGCCTCTGTGGCCCGGACTTCGGCTCACAGCGCCCTCCCGGCGGCCCGTGGCCCCCCAGGGCCCCGTCCGTCCTCAGTGCCCGCTGGGGCCGCCTCCGCACAGGCCAAGGAGGGGGCACGAGCGCTCATCTGTTCCCTGAGTCAGTACCAGGACATCTCCCAGGAACACCTTACGGGCCTGGGGGAAGCTGAGCGAGTGCATCTCATCCCAGAGTGGGCCGGGGCGGGGCGGGGGTGGGGTTGGGAGGCAGGGAGGCAGAGCCCCACGGTCACCATGGAAACAGGAGAGGGGGTGAGAGGACGGCCAGAGGCGGGAAAGCAACTCCAGGAGAGCCCCCCGGCCTCGCGCCCCCTTGGAAGCTACAGGAGCGGCGGCTCAGTGCGAGGACGCTCTCGTTGTATCATAAACGACCAAACCAGGGCTTCCGCGTTCTTGGAAATCCTGCCCCGCCCAGGATGACTGAGCTGAACGGTGTTGGCGCTGAGAGCCCTGGCCGGGCCAGCAAACAAGTTCCCGTCCACTGCCAGGCCCTCCGCTCCTTGTCACTCCGCCCCTTTCCCCAGAGCCGCCCCTTTATCAGTTGAGGAAGAGAATAAAAGCCACCGTGGACTCTGGACCTCGGGCCAAAGGCACGCGGGGGCGGGGGTGGGGGGTGTCCCTGCACTAACATAGAGGAAGCGCATCCTTGTCCAGGTGACGGTGTGGAAGCAGCCCCTGGAGAGTCCAGGTGACACGACGATCCTTCCTGGATCTCTGGTGACACACAAGCGACAGTTGATGCCGCAGGTCGGCATGTCGGCAAGGAAGTCACAATACCCACCCTCCCCCCGCGCCCCCATCTGTCTAACGATTCACTTGTTTGGGCCATTTCGAGATGTTGCTAAAAGCTTACTGGGCCCCTGGAGAAAACGGTGAAGATGGAAGCTGAGCAGCCCCGTGCCCTCTGCTCACACCCAGGGGAGGGGGGCGTCTGATTCCTCATCTAACCGTGGCTTCCTTCTTCACTGACAGCACAACGCTGGCCTGAGAGCCTCACGTGTGCTCCACTAAACGGCGGTTATTTTAAAAATGAAAAGGTTAGCATTAGCAACAAGCAAAAAGAAGTGAGAAACTTCACAGCGCCTTAACCTTTTGGAAGATAAAACCGGCAACGCAACTCCGAACGCAAAGCTGAAGCTATAGTTGGCGCTTCCCAGGGATGAGGTCATCTGACTCCGGACAGCCCTACCTGCGGGCTGACAGCGGGAGCCATCTAGTGCCACACGATCTCCTTTTGCTTTAAGACAAATCAAAGAGGCAAACGCGAGATACAGCTCATCAGAACAGCTCGCGGGCTTGGAGCACCCTGACGCGTACCAGCTAAGGGAGCACCTGCTTCTCTGTCATTAGTATAATTGTCAGCAATGCTTGTCCTGCCGATTTCTATTCAAAAAATTAATTTAAAATTCAGTTAAAACAGAAGCCTGGGATTGAGTCTAGGACGGACCAAAGGCTTGGATTTTCTGGTACAACACTGCCTAATTAAGGTATATGATCTTAAGTCACGTCATGGTTTGAAAACACTGACAAGGCTGTATCTTATCAGAAGGCAAACAGGCTGGTGAGGCCCATTTCAGTTTGTGGCAGCAGGACGGGCGTGAGCAGGTGCAGCCACGTGGGCCGGGCAGCGGGCAGCGTGGCAGAAGACCACGCATGCTCAGGGCCGTGGGGCCAGAGGACAGGGCGGGAGGAGCGTCAACACTGGTTACTCCAGAAATCAGGAAACAGCAGAAAATCCAGCAAGACCAGGAGAGCAGCGGCTCATCAGGGAAGCCTATACTTAAGAAGGAAGTCTTCCTGGCAAGGGAGAGCCGGACAACCCCATCCCTGCCTGCGATGAAGCAGCAGCAGCCTCTTCTCCTAAACTCACCGCCCCCCCGCCCCCGCAACCCCGCAAAGCCCTCCCGGGGAGAGGTCATCACCCACCGGTACTTACGTTCAATGAGAAAGAGAAAGCACACTATCCCCATGGCTGCCACGATGGCCCCAGGCACGACGAAGGACAGGCCCCAGCACGTGGACACCCAGTAGCCAGCGATCAAGGACCCCAGAATGTTGCCCACAGACGTGTGGGAATTCCAGACCCCCATGATCAAACCTCGCCTGCAATACAGCAAAACACGAGGGGCAAATGATGTCTCGGGGCTTACACGGATCAGTACGTGAGGTTACAACAGTGCCTGCACAGCGTAAGAGCTGGTAGCGCAACACACCACCTCTGCAAGGCTTGGGACCGGGGTGTTTACGAGAGGACAGTATCTTCACTTACCTCCGGCTGCATAATTACACGTCTCTGAGCTTATTCATTCTACGACTAAAAGAAGAAAGAGGCCTTTTCCTAGAATTCTTGGAAGGCCCCAAATTTAAATTTGTGCCTTTGCAATCTAAATACGATCATTTGATGAAATACCCCATTAACCAAAGTTCACGGTGAAGAACCTGCCAGACGAACGAGGCTAAGTAAGGCTGGAGGAGTGAGTTTCCTGTTTTAGTTTCCCCATCTTGTCCGGCATCTCCGACCACTTCCTAACCGTGGGCCCAGCCATGCTGCCTGTCACACAGACGTTATGATGGAATCTGACCGCAGTGAGGTCACCAGAGGCTGGGTACAGCTCTGCTACCAGGCCCTGGGTGACCTGGACAGGTCACACTTCCCTGTGCCTTTCAGTCCTGTGAAAATGTAGCTTCTGCTTCGAAAGGCCTGGGGCAAGGCCCTGACTGCATTTCTCCCGGCTTCCCAGGAGGCCAGGTGAGGCCCGGGCTGCTGGCTGGCTGCGCAGATGACCCAGACTCCGCCCTGCCCACAACGGGGGTGACATCTCCTGAAACAGAGGCCTGCCTGAATTTTAGACCCTCAAGACGCAGAGGTTTCAGTCACCTTATTTCATACAGTAGACTGACGTGTTCTTTTCTGTAATGAATCTAAAGAAAAACTAAACATAAAGCGGTCTGGTTTTCATCAGAATCTTCTGAAAACGGACGCTGCTGGAAGCAGGGCTGCCTTCCTTACCTCCCTTTGCCAAACCAGTTGCCGAGGCAGGTGACGACGCTGGGCCAGCCGGTGGTCTGTACCAGTCCGTTGACGATCTGTGACAGAGGGCAAAGGAAGAGACTGCTGAGGGGGGACACCCACACCCGGGAGCCTGGCCTCAGGGGTCTGGGCGCCCAGCGGGGACTCTCACAAAAGGAAGGGGCAGAACCCGATTCGATATGAGCCTCGACAGCCAGACGTGTATTTTAACAATATACGCATATATCTTACCACGAGAGTCGTACGTGCCTATTGTGAAAATTTTGAAGTAGAGGAAAAAAAGAAAAGAAAATCTCTTGCTCGGAGATGAACTACTGTCAACAGCTTGGGGCCAAGCTGTCCATTCTCTTTCCAAGCTAAAACTTTATGCAAAGAGAAAAACCCTCTCCTTTTTGTAGAACTGTGATGATACCATAAGGGTGGCTCGTGAATTGCACGTCTTCCCTTCTTGTGTCACGAAGAAGGTACTGTTGCTAACCACCGAAGGGAGCAGAACCTTGACTAGTGCCTAGAGAAATGATTTCTCCAACTTGCCAAGAGCGCCCCGAGCTCTTGTTTGAAGAAGGGATTCAGGAAGTGTATCAGCAACTGGCTCTGCTTTAGTCTCAGGGGCCTCAGGGGCAGCTCCTCCAACTGCCCCCGGGAAGGACCAGCCACCAGAGGCCGACTGGGAGCCGCTGGCCCGGCCTCAGGGCCAGCCAGGCTCAGCCTTCCCTCCAGGAACGTGCTGGGACTCTGGGAAATAGGTTTTTTCCTTCTCTCCGATTTTCTGTATCACCATAAAGTGTGCATCGCTTTGGTAATGAAAACAGCCAAACTCTTTCGAGTCCTATGGTGAAAATTTTAAAAGCAAATTACATACGATGTGCCCTGATGACCTTGCCACATCTCCCTGGGCTGTGTCTGGGGAGCCTCGGAAGCTGAGCGTCATTGTTTCAAGTCATTTTCCATTTCTAGCTAATATTATCCACAGGGCTGTGGGGAGGGGCAGATCCAGGAGTTCCTGGAAGCACTGAGCCCCGCAGGAAGGGCCAGGCCGCATGCTCGTCCGGCCCTCCCTCCCCTGCAGCACCCTTAGGCCCTGGCCTTTCCCCCGCCCCCTCCGCCCCCCGCTGACTGCCCCCCGACAATCCCCAAGTCCCCTCAACCTCCTCCCCTCACCACGCCCCTCATTCCCCCAACCCCAGAGCGGTCAAGTCTGACCCAAGACAGAACATCTCAAATGCACCCAAATTAAGGCAGAAGGACTCAGAAGGGCTTCATGCCTCAAGCCCCCTGCCGGGGTACCGACAAGTAGGATTCTTTGGGCGGCAACTCCTGAAACTAAGAAACACTTCCCGGGGCTTCCCTGGTGGCACAGTGGTTGAGAGTCTGCCTGCCAATGCAGGGGACACGGGTTCGTGCCCTGGTCCGGGAAGATCCCACATGCATCCGGAGCCTGTGCTCCGCAATGGGAGAGGCCACAACAGTGAGAGGCCCGCGTACCACAAAAAAAAAAAAAAAAAGAAAGAAACACTTCCCGGCTGGAATTTCAGAGCAGAGGAGAGAAAAGGGGTTGGATGTACCAGCGCTGACCCTGGCCTCAGCCAGGACGCAGTTCTGCGCCCACTCCCGCCACCTGCCATGGCGCTGACCCTGGCCTCAGCCAGGACGCAGTGCTGCGCCCCCTCCCGCCACCTGCCATGGCGCTGACCCTGGCCTCAGCCAGGACGCAGTGCTGCGCCCACTCCCACCACCTGCCATGTCCTCTCTTGGCAGAGCCTGGGACCCGTGACATTAACACCCCGTCTGGCTCATCACGGAAATCCCATACATGGTGAGCCGTGGGCCAGACCTTACCTGGGTCACCACGTAGAATCCAAAACTGTGGATGTTGTAGAAATACCCTGCCCCAAACAGGGCAGTGAAAGCACCGCTGGCCACCATTCCAAAAGTCAGGTAATACCTAATGGGCAGGCGCTCCCCTATTATGCCACTGGGGACAGAGAAAAAAGAAAGACAAATGTGAGAAAACAAACACACCCATGATGTAAGTGACCCAGCGATTCCTGGCTGGGTGCTTTCATGCTCTGAGCTTTTAGAACTTGAAAGCACTCCAATTCCCAGTAAATTTTCATCACAATCATTTTTCAATGGAGCATTTATTAACCAGAAACTGGCAACACCTTTTAAGACTTCCTATTTCTAACGAAAGTCACTGTCAAATAATAAAACGGAGACACTCTGACATATATGATGCCTGCCAATTAAAAAAACAAAACCAAAACCTTGTCCTGCTGGCTAATCCTGTTTTATATAAACAACAGTCAGTGAACGTATATTTTTAAGAGAACCACGTTTAACTGTCGAACTGTAGACAAATACGAAAAGGGGTCCCCTGTGACCTTGAGCACGTCTCTTGGCTCTCGGGCTGGCATTAAGCCGCTGCATCGGCGGCCAGGCCAGAGGCGCTCTTGCCAACGACCCTCTGGCCACAAGCACCGTGACCTGGTTTAAAGACAGAGCCTTTTCCTTAAGGTAAAGTCTGAAACGTGGGGCAAAGCCTCCATGCTCCCTCTGAACAGCAACGTGACGCCATGAAGAGCTAATCTCTCTGGAGAATTGCTTCCTAGAGCTGCCTGGGTGCTCCAACGAGATAAATGCGGTTAAGTGCCTGGCAAGGTAGTAGATGCTCAATCAAACGGCTCCAGCGCTGCCGGGGAGGGTGAAAACCTCCAGTTTCATACGGGACATACATTCAACAGGCCTTTACCACCACCACACCTCACTACCCAATGCCATGTGAAATACGTCCTTCACTGCCTTGTAGGACACGTCACTATGTCACACAGCTTGACACTGTGACTTAAGTGAATAAAGACCTGGAGAACAATCACAAATGACTGTGAGCCTTCTGCAATCTCTACATACACTCTGTGGGTCTCGTTTTCTTCCACGTAATCATTCTAGGAGTCAGATAGATATGAAACGTAATGAAGGATGACGCCTGCCTGCCTGCCTCTGAACAGGACCCTGGGAACCAGCTCCAAAATTCTGGTCTTTCATCTCAAGAACAAATACCCCAGCGAGATCTTCCTTCAGAATTTACCGAAGAAGAAAAAAGATCAACCTAGTATCACGCAGATGACCTATTAAACACTAAAGCAGAGGAAGTAATTTAAAACTGTAAACAGCATTCAGGTCAAATTTTAAGCTGAGTAGAAACTGATCACATACAAACTCGAGAGCATTCGAGAGCTAAAGGAATTATCCACTTCATCCTGCTCACTTCAGAGAAGAGGGGGCATGTCCCAGAGGAGCTGGCTGACCTGCCCAAGGTCACGGAGTAAGTGTCAGAGTCAGATGGGCCTCCTGCAAGCTAGTGCCATCGGCCGGCCGGGGCTTACAAACGTCCTCTAGTCTTGCTAGACCATACTGGGACTCAACTTGGTCTCTATTTTCAAGTTTTAAAGAAAAGGCCTAACGGAATGGACAGCATTCCACGTCGTATCAGGCTCCTACAGGTAATAAAGGCCACGCCACACCTGCTTGAACCTGCCAGCAATGACCTGGGTTAGCGAAGGTGCCACCACGTCTGAGTTACCTGCTACGCTAACACCATCCATCTCACTAGCAACGTGTCATGATGTCGCTAAGAAGCCATGCGAGGAAGGATGCAAGGAAGCAGGGTACATCCTCATCCCCGTCACAAGTCCACAGTGGGTTTCACATTAGGTTATTATGAAATACATAATGCTATTTCACAATAAAATTATTTAATAAGAACCTTCGTTGGCGAGTTGCATGAAGAACGATCTTTGCCAGTAAATAAGCGATAATGAAACCACCTTATTGAAACCAGTTTTCTTAGCCTCAGCACACTTGCATGTTGGGCCGGGTAATTCTTTGTGGCGAGGGGCTGTCTTGTGTCCTGTAGCACACTTAGCGGCACCCCCGGTCTCTGCCCACTAGATGCCAGTAGCACCCCCTTCTCCAGCTGAGATGACCAAAACTATCTCCAGATATTGCTAAATGCTTCCTAGCAGACAACATCACTCCCAGCTGAGAACCACCTTTAACTAGTGTTTTCTAGTGACTGAGAAAAACACACTCCAACCTTGGGGTCTTTTCATATTATTGATGATTGGTGTCCAGTAAAACTGCGGTTTTTAGAACATAAATATTTGACCGCAGGATGGAATGCGGCTGGCAGCCCGGTTGCAGCCCACGCCCGAAGGCGCCTGAGGCTTACGCTGTCCTTCTCCGCAGCTGGGCTCCCGTTCTGCGCTGCATCCGTATTATGCATTCCGCACTCGGACAAGCCCTGCAGCTCCATGCAGATGTGCAAGTTCAACAAAGGGGTGACAGCCACTCCATCAGCAGAAACCGCCTGTCTGGGTACCAGACACCAGACGGTCCTGAGCTGGGGACGGGGTCCAGGTCTCGGTGATAACACAGTCTGGGCGGATCTCAGGGAAGAAGGTAAACGTTTGTTTACAGGGATTCCAGAAATTCCCAAAGCTCTGAAACTCTGTGTCTCTGAACAAAGCCCTCTTTGGACTAAAGGCCTTAGTCCCTGTAAGTTTTGTTTTGTTTTTCCTGTTAGATCTGGCTGGACTGACACAGTAGCAGTAGTTTTTAACCGGCCAACTGCACGTCCTGTTATTACCCACTAGTGTTTACCACCTCCCTAGGCCAGTTCAGAACTCGATCAAGAATGGGTTAACGGGGCTTCCCTGGTGGCGCAGTGGTTGAGAGTCCGCCTGCTGATGCAGGGGACGCGGGTTCATGCCCTGGTCCGGGAAGATCCCACATGCCGCGGAGCGGCTGGGCCCGTGAGCCATGGCTGCTGAGCCTGCGCGTCCAGAGCCTGTGCTCCGCAACGGGAGAGGCCACAGAAGGGAAAAACCCAAGTACCAAAAAAAAAAAAAAAAAAAAAAAAAAGAATGGGCTAACGATCGTATGTAACAGGCACTGGGAACACAGCACGGGCCAGGCCCTGTTCTGAGCATTCTGCACATATTAACTCAGTTAAACCTCACCACACTCCTGTGAGTTAAGAACTACTGTTTCCCCCATTTTGCGAAGGGGAAACTGAGGCCCAAGGAGGTGCGGTAACTCGTCCAAAGCCACCCAAGCGGGCCGTCAAGCCGGGATCGAATCCCAGCAACGTGCCTCTGGGGTCCACACCTCCCACCGCCAGGCAGGACGGCCTCTGGCACTCAGGGGAGGCTCTGTTCCGGCCTAGCGGGCCATCCAGGTGGACACGCCAAGCACCCGCTGTGTGAACTGCTCTGATGCCAGGCGGGGTTAGGAAAGAGACGGCGGCCCCTGAAACCAGAGAAGAGGAGGCTCTGCCGTGCTCACCGGGTGGGGAGCTGCCAGGGCCCTGCTCCTGAGAGACCGGGTCCTGGCAGGGCTCACGGTGCATCCAACCCCGGAGCCAGGAAAGCCGTCCGAGGACAGTCTGCCCGATCTGCAGGACACCCGGGCCGTGTGCTGGCTTCCACCTCACCCTTGTCTCTGAGGAGAGACCGGAGGACCAGCCACCTGCGGGCGGGGCCGCGTCTTCAGCCTACCTGAGCTGTGCTCTGCACCCAGCGGACCACCTGGGTCTTGCAGTCTTAGCCAGACCTACCTCAGGTACATGCCAACAGCGTACGCACACAGGAAGGAGTAGTCCAGGGCGCCGAGCAGCTGCTGGAAGTTGTCCTGATCTACGTGGGGCGAAAAGCAACAGGAAAAGGAGGGTATTGTTTACTTTTCACTAAACACCAATTTATGGCCGGGAGAGGTACAATGACGTACGAGACCTCTGCTCTCTACGTCTGGGCGGCGTCCTCAGAGGGAACACAGAAAATACAGCAACTGGAAATCAAGTCACCATGTTTCCAATAATCGCTACATAAACGTTACTCCCATCAGGTCAAATCCCCATTGCTGGCGGTGAGCTTGTGGGTTCTGTTCTGTTTCACATGTTACCCCGGCTTTGGTTCGGGCCCCCCAGGCCAGCCCCACACCACAGCTCTGAGATTGCTCTCTTCTCTCCACCCACAGCTTACGCTCTGTAAGTCCTAACTTCCAGCTTGGACAAATGCAACCTGCAGATGACCTGCAGCAGATCTGACCACTGAGCGACACCCCTGCACACGGGCACGGGAAACGTGCAGCAGCTGAAGGTGCGAGGCTGGTTTGCTGGGAGGAGAGGTTAGTTTGCACCTGGAGGCGCAGCTGCATCTGACAGCATCGTCACCGCTGCTGAGATCAGCCAGCCGGCTCGGGGACTGCCAGCTGTGGAGGAGGCCCGCAGGGATGGCCAGCTTCAGTCACGGGACGAAAGCAGGGGCACGGACGGAGAACTCACCAAATGGGGCCCAGCCACAGTCGGTCCCGTTGTCTGGGAGCTGCTGAGCGGGGGTGTCCCGGGCTTTTGGGCTCTGGCTGTGGAATCCGACCTCCCCCTCATACGAAGCCGTGCAGTAGCTGTGCAGCTCACCCTGGGACATCCATGGGGAGGACAGAAGCCAGAGAGAGAGAGAGTGCACTCAGGTGGGGCTCAGCCGCCCCTCTCCTTACAGCTGTCCTAGGGTGACTGCGTTCTAGGGGGATACGGCACCACTGGGGCGGTGTGTCTAGGGGACCCACAGAGTGCCTGCCAACGAGGACGGTTCCTCCAGCTCCCTAGCGGCCGTCTCCTCCTGAGACACAGCCGACACAGCCTGTACCGGGCTACCCAGAGACGACTGCTCAGAGCAGCCGGGCAGCATGGGGGCCCACCTGCCCAGACGGAAGAATGGATTCATCCTGCTGGATTTATATCATTGACTACAAGTTACAGGTCCACAAGGACGAGGATGAATCTCGAAACAAAATAAGCCTGACACAAAGGAGCACATATGGGAGACTCTGTTTGCGAAGCTCCGGAGGAGGGAAATGAATAAATCCAGGTGACGTTCATCACCTAGGGAAGGGCAACAGTGACAGGACCAGACCCTAACCTGCGTGATGATTTCCCGGGTGAGCGTGTAAACATTTGCTAGGCTAGACACCGCAGATCTGTGCACTTTACTATGTGCAAATCACATGTCAACTCCCCCGCCCAAAACTACCTCAAGGTGCTCCTTAAGGAGGCATCCACACTTCCAGAAGAGTGCCGCAGGGCAGCCGGGGCCGTCCTGGTATGGGGACCTGAGTAACAGGTGACTTAAAACACAAGGGGCAGCAGACAGGACTCCATGCGCCTGCGGTGCCACCACGTGTCCCCTCCCAGGTGGCCCCCGGCTCCCACTTCTGCCCTGCTGGGCGCTTTCTGGGGTTTCCGCTACACGGGGCTCAGATGAACCAATCCATCAGGTGTGAGCGAGGGCAGAAAGGAGGCGTCCTCAAGGTCGAGGAGGTGGCCCTCAGGGGGAGCAGAGGTCCCGAAGGGGCGGCCTTTAATGAGCTGCGACCTGAGAGAGGCTGGGCCTGGGGGGCTGTGAGGAAGCCTGGCCCCGGAAGAAGCATCTACCCCGGGGTCAAGACACAGGGCAGCGGGCGGGGAGCTGCACCCCAGTCCACCAGGTGCGGGGCCAGCCAGGAGGCCTGTCCGCCACCTTCGCCTTGTGGGTACCCCGCCTCTTCAGGAGGGGTCACTAAAGAGGCTGATCTCCTTTAAAAGGCCGCCTTGCTAGGGCTGTGGTCAGCCGCGGCGGGACACCTGATTTTACACGGACACGTGCCCCCGAGACCCGGCCTGGCACACAGGACCCAGCCACTCTGTGGTTACGTGGCTTTGTCATCTTCGCTGGGCTGCTCTGCTGTAATTTAAACACAAGGTTCCGCTAAAACTAGCCAAGGTTCCGCTTTCCAAACTCAAAGTAACCCTTTGCAGACAGCTTTCCTCCGCCGAGCTCCCACTCTCCGGTGGTGGAGGCCGGGCGCTGTCGTCCTGGGATCCTCCGAGCTCCTTCCCTGCCCGCCTGAGAAACTGTGGACGTGGCTGTGAATTTGGGACGGGGACACGGGGGAGCCCTGCCTCTCTGCATGAAGCTGGATTGCCAGCACTTCCCCACCCGCCTGATGTGATCATTTCCTTCTCCTCTTTGCCCTCAGAAGTCAGGTGTGTCCGCCCACCTTTCTCTGCTGCTTCTCTTGGAAGCCAGCCGGGCCTGCAGGCACCACTGATGCTGTCTATTCACCTTTCAATAAGGGAGCCACAGGCAGGACGCAAGGACCCCCATGGGCTGAGGGGGACCCTCGAGCGGGGCTGGCGTGGGGTTCCTAACACACGCCTTACACGGAAGCCCGGGAAGAGGACCGTTATGGACGCGGCTCCCACTGGCAGGTCCACATCCTCCTTCACCATCCACGGGGGATATAAAGGATTAGAAATCATCCCTTTTTGTTTCATTAACAAGCAGAAGAGGTTTTCTGTTTTGGTTTGTCCCGGGATGAGAGGTGCCGGTCAGGGAGACGGGCTCCGAGCCGGGATCCTGGCGCTGCTGTCCCAGTTTCCAACCTCGGCCGACTCACGGGGACTCCCCACAGCCTCCCCACAGTGCCGACGGGCACAGCGCGGCCCGTCGGCACTGCCTTAAAGACGGGCATGTGGAGGTGTGTGCAGAGAGCTCCTCTCCGGGTCCCTCGCCCAGAAAGGCTCAGCGACTGGCAGCTGTGTGTTTGGGGTCCACCCACACAGGGGCACCCCAGGGCCTCCAGCTGGCCCTAATCTCATTCAGCTCCCTTCTCTCCCCAGACCTCCTCCTTCATATGAGAAATGCAATCTCCAGCCCACCCCGCTGAGAAGCTGAAGCAAAAGCAATAAAAGGCTTGACGTTACTTGAGCATAAAGAGTTCTGAGGATATGAAATGACCACATGTTAGCTTTTAATAAGACTCTGCCGTATTTTAACTTTCCAATGAGTTTTATTCCCCAAACCTGGTGTTTGCAGGAAAATTAAGGATTAATGAAACTAAGATAAACTTAGTTTGTCAGAAAGAAAACTCACCAGGTGAACTGATCCTTACCAGGTTATAAAATCATTTTGGGGGTGGGGAGCTAGTCCTTTGCTTTCATAAAAGCAGTCTCCTTTGCAAATTTCTTACACATGTGCCTTTCAACAGATAACACATAAAATTAATCAAAATACACCAGGCAGTGATTAAAAGTCGATCATTCAAAAGACAATGTGGCAGCCGAGAAATACGGCTGTGAAACTCCAAGGGGGAAGAGCAGAATGGAACATTCCAGGTGCACGGGGCTCATAAGTGCTTAGAAATGTCTGTGTAATACACAAAGGAACGGCAACAACACAATAAACCGCAAGACACCAGAGTGACTGGAAGGTGGGCGGGGGGTGGGGTGGGTGGGTGGGGAGTGAGAGAAGACAGGTGTGGACATGATGGAAGGATGCAGAAAACAGCCATGACGTCACGAAGCACCATGTGGGGGGGAGGGGCAGAGACATGGGGGTGTGCACTTACCTCCCACCTACAGATCCCCTCTCTAGCGCCCTCCACCCCCAGCACTGGGCAGCTGGAGCTGCAGGAGACATGTTCCCTGTAAGCGCCACACACACCGGCCCGTGCAGTCCCTTAGGCACCAATGTTTTTATATAAATGTACATTAATGAAGACTCTACGCGCTAAACTCTGAACTTGAGCAGTTTCACCCTGAGAAACTCTTTATGCGCTCATTCATTCCAAAAACATGGGCTCTTCGGCTCTCTGGCCAAGGCTACAGCGAGCTGCTCGTTGCCTGTGGGAGTGGGGAAGGGGTCCAGAAGATGCTGAGAGGGGCAGGAGACTGAGAGCCGGGGATTCGGGCCTCATCAGGAGGAGGGGGGCTGTGTCAGCTTCACTTCACCTCTGAACGACACACGGAGTGTCGTGTGTGCGCACGTACGTGCATGTGTGTGTCCATAATCTATACAGAGTGTATATGTGTAGTAAATTTTCTAGGGTTCATTAGGTTGTGTGGGTCCTTTTATTTTAACTAGTCCTTTAGACTCCTTTTATGAAGCTCTCGGTTAAAAGAACTCTCCAAAGCATTATGCAAAAGAAGTCCTAGAAGCGAAATGAAAGCTCTGGCGCTCGCTATGCTCTGAAGGCTGGTGTTTCCACCAAATTCACGTGTTGAAACCTAACCCCCGAGGTGACGGTACTAGGAGGTAGGGCCTTTAGCAGGTGATTAGGTCATGAGGGTGGAGCCCTCATGAATGGGATTAGTGCTCTTTTAAACGGACCCCAGAGAGCTCCTCAACCTTCCACCAAGTGAAGCTACAAGGAAGCGGCCGTGTGCAAGCTGGAAGAGGGCCCTCACCAGAAACTGACCGTGCTGCACCCGCCCTGACCTGGGACGTCCAGCCTTCAGAACTGTGAGCAACAAATGTCTGCTGGCTACAGCCGCCCAGTCGATGGTATTTTGTTACAGCAGCAAGAGTGGATGAGACAGCGCTCAAAACAGGAAGAACAGACAACCTGGGCCCCAGCACCCAGGAGGTGGTCAGTGCACAGGAGCCATATGAAAATGGACCAGACACACGCCTGCATATGCAAAGGTACACCCACTCACAAAGGTGTACAGAAGTACACAGGGAAGCTTTCGGGTCACTGTCTTTTTTTTTTTAAATGGGATCATTCTACACGGACTTATGTCCACCTTGACTCTTCTGACTCAAAAATACCTGCTGGGAGTCTTTCTGAGTCGACTGGTTTGGCTCCAATGAATTCTTTTAAGTGGTTGCACATATCGGAATATGGGTGTGCCACAACGTACTCACACTTTCAGCTGCTGAGTAAGTTCACAGAATAGCCACGTTTTATTTCTTTCCTTTAAAAAAAAAATTGCAGACAATGCTACAAAAAAGATGCCTATGCAAATACTCCTAAGGGCTGGCGCTTCCATTCTTATGGACAAGATTCCCAGAAGCAGGACTGAAGGACAAGCGTTTTTAATTTCAACAGGTGTTACCCAGATGCTTTCCAAAAGGCCGTAACACTTCACATCTCTATCACCCGTACCTGAAAGTCTTCTCCCGCCATCACTGCCAGCAACAGGGGCTATTACTCTTTTAGGTGTTTTGCCACTTTGTGGGTATAAAGTGGTATATCCCTATATCCCTTGTCTGTGAACTGCCTCTTCACCCCCTCCGTCCATCATTCCTTTGGATTTCCCAACTTCATACCCCTAAGAGGGACATCATCTTGTTCTTGGATTTTTACTTTTTATTTTTTACATTTAAATCTTTAATCCATCCATCTATTCTTTATAAGATAGGAGTTCAACTTTATTTCTTCCAGATGAATCTGCAGTTGTGTCAACACCATTTATTAGATGAACTATACTTTTCCCGTCACCTCTGTCAGCCATTCTACTGTATGTTTCCACAGTATTTTCTATATTTTTCTACTGGCCTCTTTGTCTATGCTCATGCAATACCATAATAATTTGATTATAGTGGCTTAAAAAATGTTCCCTTTTCCACACTTTCCTTGGTAATTAATTCTTGGTCATTCTTTTCACATAAACTCTAAGATTATTTTATTCAGTTAAAAAAGACATTGCTGAGATTTTCACTGGAGTTGTGTCCTATTTAAATACGAATACTGGGAACGGCAGAGCTTTCCAGATAGCAAGTTTCCCACCCAAAGCCAAGGTACGCACTTCCAGCCTTTCAGGCTTTGTTTTCTGTCCGCCACTGAGGATTTCACGGCTTTCTTTTCCTGGGTCCCGTGTGTGCAGAGAGGGCTGGACATTCACACTCAGACCGGTCAATGTGACGGCTCCCCTCGGGGACCTTGGATCCCCTGCAGCTCAGGCTCTCCCCGAGAACCCTCTGCTTTCAGGCTTTTGCTCTGGCCCAGCCCGGGGGTGGGGGGCCAGGGAAGAGCCCCCCAGAGTGTCCCTCGGGCAGTGTGCAGGCCCCACCTGTCCATCGGCCTCCAGTTAAGAGGCAGGGCTAGCACTGGAGCAGCTCTCAGAACACAGCGGGGTTGTAACCCCACCTCCTCCCAGCCCTGTTTTCATCACTATCACTTATTTTTCCTTTTTGCTATATACTAAAATCAGAGAAAAATGAAAGGTTTCATCAGTGGTTAAACTAAGTCTAAACAGAGTAGCCTCGTGCCAACACGACATGTCACGTCCCTGGAAGTGACATTAAAGGATATGAATCACTGTATGATTCATCGCCCCTGGCGATCAGTTCCAGGTACGCAAATGTATTTTAATTTTGTTTTGCTCATAATGTGCTAATAAATATAGGCTATAGATAATTCAGGCTGTTCCTTGGGTCAACAGCACCATTACTACTTCTAGTTTTATAAATAAGATGAGCTAAATAAAGCACAAGGCATTGCAAAGTAACTTATCGTATGGAGTGTGACATCTGATCTATCTCAGAAGGCAAAGAAGCCCCGGGGTTCTGCGTTAGGCCAATCCACACATCCAGGCACGTCTAAGGTGCTAAGTCAGACAACCTGCGTGTTGAAGAAAATCTGGGTGTGATGCTGCGACTGTACCCAGCTTCTTACACCTGCCCTAGAGACCCGTGGCAGGGAGGGTAAGGGCAGGGACCCTGGAGTCAGCCCGACCCTGTGGAATTCACCTGAGGTGGCCCTGGCCTACACAGAGGAATTAGGCCCCTGAGTCTCAGTTTCCTCAAAAGGACACGCACAGGACGGCCGTGACGATGAGATTAAATAAGGGAGGCGCGCACCTTGTCAGGCGCGGGGCTCAGCCAGTGGCAGTCACCGTGACCGACGAAAACTTAACTAAGAGCCGGACCCCTCATCACTAAGCCCCAAGCCCCCGACGGGGAAGCCGCGAGAGTGGCCTGGAACAATGCCGCATCCCTTCCTGGCTAAATGGGGACCCTCGTGGCCACCAGAAGGAGACCCTCCAGTGGCCAGCCCCCCTCAGCATGCTGCCTCGGTCCCAACACGGGCCCCGCGCCTGTCAGGCTGCTGCTGCACCGCGACGCCCCCAGCAGGCCAGGACTGGCCCCAGGACCCTCGCCCGGCCTTGCAGGATCCATCGGAGCCGCAGGAAGGCTCCCGACCCCGCCGGCTCCTTCAGTTCTAGGCACTCCCTAAGGTCCCTTCAACGGTCTCTTCCCTTTTCATAACTTGCCTTTCTCTTGAGCCATATGTGTACTTCCCTAACCAGGAAGGCAGGAATTAGTAGTATTTAAGTTGACAGGGGCGGGTTGGTCCTTGGTACTGATATTAGAGACACTGGTCAAGTGGATGACGGCCCACCCTCTCCTGTCCCATCCTTTGCTCTGTTTTGAAAACTGCATTATAAAAGGTCTGCAAAGATTGCCATAGTTATTCAAACTTCGTACATTAAAAAAGGGAGAAGTTTGCAAGCGACCGGAAGGGCCGGGGAAATGCCTGCTTACTAGGGGTCGAGGAATTCTAGGGTCCTTGGAGTAGAGGGATGGTGTTTCACGCCCACTGGGCGTTGCTGGAGACCAGGGAACACAGAACCGTCCAGAGAAGCAACAGCCTCGGCACTGCCTCTGCCACCGGCCGGGAGCCCGAGACGACAGCTGTCCAGCAGTCGGCCCCTCCTCCCCCCGACCCGGGGAGCAGAGGAGGCAGGACTACAAAGGTCAGTGGAGTCACAGTCCTGGACCTGCGTCCTGGCCAAAGAGGAGAAAGTGACGGAGGGGTAGTCGGGCTGTAAATGAACTACCTTTGGCCCTGGACGATTTCCTCGTCCCTTCTATGATAAAGGCTCAGCAGCCATTCAAGCCAGCTGACAGTCTGCAGGCAAAATGACGTCATTCCAGTGAGGGTAAGAAAACGACTCTGCTTTTCCCCAGGTTACAACTGGCTACTACGTAGGACTGTCTCCTTTAATCTTCTTTTCCCCAAGTCGAGTTAAATGCCTGCTTAATAACTTCCTGCCCACCCATCACTCACACAGGAACTCAGTGTTCTAAGAATAATGGAGAAACACCACCACTGCCAGACTTAGGATCAAAGCCTAATGACCGTAGAAGCAATCTGGGGAACATTTTTAGACTGGATATATTCGGAGGGGAAGTTCACACAAGACAGAATAGATATGTAATTAAGCTTTAGAATTCTGGGACAGTCAACGAATATAATCGAAAGTATACTACCTCTGAAATTATAAATCCCAAAACCATTTTAAAGCTATTAATTTCAGAAAAGAGAAACTAAAAACCAAAGCAGCAAAGTACCTTGCTTCTCAACAATCCATTTTCTCCATTTATCTTACTGCTCTCCCCCAAACTCCCCTTCCCCCCAACCGGCTCACTAGTTCCTTACAGAGATTACAGGCAGGAAATGACATCGGGTGCTTTTAATGATTTCTTACCTTAACTATGCTGATAGGCTTTCGAGATAAGTGAAAACTTGCATACAGCAAAAATGTCAAAATAAAAATGAAGGCTCTGTACCTGAAACACAAAACAGTGGCAGGGATGACATAAAATAATATAAGATGCCGTATGATCCAGCAACCCCACTCCTAGGCGTACACCCAGACAAAACCGTAATTCGAAAAGATACATGCACCTTCTGTTTGTTCGTAGCAGCACTAGTTACAATAGCCAAGACGTGGAAACAGCCTCAACGCCCATCGACAGGTGAATGGATAAACGAGATGTGGTGCATATGTGCAATGGAATATTACCCATCCGTAAGACAGAATGTAATAATGCCACTTGCAGCAACATGGATGGGCCTAGAGATGATCATACGAAGTGAAGTAAGTCAGAAGGCGAAAGACACATATCATATGCTATCACTTATATGTGGAATCTAAAATATGACACAAGTGAACCTATCTGCAAAACAGAAACAGACTCACAGACATAGAGAACAGACTTGTGGTTGCCGAGGGGGAGGGAAGCGGATGGGAGGGCTGGACTGGGAGTTTGGGATCAGTAGATGCAAACTACTACATAGAGAATGGATAGACAACAAGGTCCTCCTGTAGAGCACAGGCAACTATAGTCAATATCCTGGGATAATCCACAATGGGAAAGAGTATGAAAGCGAACATATTTGTATAACGAACACATACATGTATCACTTTGCTGTACGGCAGAAATTAAACACAACGTTGTAAACCAACCATACTTCAATTTAAAAAAAAGGTGCATTAAGAATCCATTGCAACGGGATTCTTAAATTTCCTTATGCTGTATTTTTTTTACTCAGTCCTACATCAAAGATCAATCCTGTTTATAACACCACTACAATATTTTAAAAATGTGCCACTTTTACTTTGTTAATTGAAACTATTTAAACCATCATGGGAAAAACTAACCAAAGAGAAACCTGGGACACAGATGTACACACGGGTTTACAAAGCAGACAAAAAGGAATGATGATTTAGTGCGTAACGGAATCAACTGCAAGCGACTTATAAGCCTGCTACCCTGGGCACTTAAGATCATATTTATTTTTTACTTTTTAGAAGGACACAGCAAGGCGGAAATATAACTATTTCACCGGCCTCAGTGAGAACAGCTCAGTGACGCTGACAAGCTATGAATAAGGCCAATGGCATAAAAACTAGTGGCCCAAAGCCCTGCTGCTGCGCTTGGTTTATGAGAAAAGCAGTTCGAGAGGAAGTGCTGAGGTGTATGGAGACTACAGACAAGAAGATACTTTAGCAAGAAGTCTAAATGTGGTTCTAAATGTTTGAACCACCCTATAGAAAAGCCGCCCTTCGGGGAAGACAACGGGTCAGGAGGATAAAGTCCTTGGGGCCCCTAACCCTGAAGAACCCGTCCTGTTCTGGTCTGCAAAGGCCAGTGACCTTCCAACTGCGTGCGGGCTTAAACCCGTCATGACCCAAGGTGGAGGCAGGGGCGACAGAGCAGACAGGGGCCGCAGGGGGGGCCACGGCCCCCGGGGGGGCGGCTCATTCAAGGCCCCCGATGAGGACAGGACCTTCCTCCTGCCTCCCACCCACGTTTCCAATGTTGTGATTTACTTTTCAAGGGTAGCTTTCTGGACTAACGAACACGAAGACTCCTGAGGGTGTCTGGCTCCCTGGCCACCAGAAAAGGCAGGAGTCAAATAAATATTGCCAGCTTTTTAACAAAAGGTCATATTTCAGGTGGGAAAAAAGGCTTGGTAGTACCGTGGGACTCAAACCGCCAACCTCTGGAACACCTGCGCTTAGCGAGGGCACACCACGCCCACTTCATCGAGGAAACACTGACTGATGGTTTTCCTAGGACTTTTCTCTTCGAGCCCCTGCCAATGAGCAGGTAGGAAAAAAGTGAGACTAAAACCAAGTGGGTGTGTCGTCTATCGCAAAGAACACAGACTATGCAAGTACAGTGGACCTGTAACAAAGTCTAGGCTTTTGTCCTTGTGTTTCTGAAAGTCATCCGTTTTGGTAGGGGGTGGAGGTCTCTCAGTTCCTTGCTGGAACCTCTCCGCATCCCACCCCCTGCTCCTCTGCAGCAGCTTATGAAGGTTCTAGGCCACTGGAACTTTCAACACCCGAATTTCCAGCCCATAGCTAGACCCATTGGTTGCTTGATGCCCACTTGCTAGGGCTAGTGTGGACTGTGGGGGACCCCGATCGGCCCCCATCTGGGTACAGAGCTCCCTTTTCCCATCTCCACAAGGAGTAAGAAAATACTCAGTCTGAGTTACCTCCAGCCCCTCCCAAATCAGAGTCTGAGAGGATTTGGAGCCCTCAAGGATGCTACACACAACCAGCTTACAGGTGTGCCATTGGCCAGGAGACTCTGAATTTCATCATCACCCAGCTCACAAGGACTTGGAAAGAGCAGGTCTACTTAAATGGGCCTTGGGGGGGCTTCCCTGGTGGCGCAGTGGTTAAGAATCCACCTGCCAATGCAGCGACACGGGTTCGAGCCCTGGTCCGGGAAGATCCCACACGTCGCGGAGCAACTGAGCCCGTGCACCACAACTACTGAGCCTGTGCTCTAGAGCCAGTGAGACACAACTACTGAGCCTGCAAGCCACAACTACTGAGCCGTCGTGCCACAACTACTGAAGCCCACGTGCCTAGAGCCCGTGCTCCACAACAAGAGAAGCCACCGCAATGAGAAGCCCACGCACCACAACGAAGAGTAACCCCCACTTGCCGCAACTAGAGAAAGCCCGTGCACAGCAACAAAGACCCAACGCAGCCAAAAATCAAATAAATAAACTTAAAAAGAAAATGGGCCTCAGGTTCATGGTCTCCACTCTCTACCCAGAACATTCCACTTATAAATATTCTAGTTTTATTAAGTGCATTTAATATATTTATTAAATAGAATAAATAAACCCCGAAATAACGAGCTCGTCCATATGCCTCGATCAGGTCTGAAGACCCCTGGGGCCCTAACACACCTGCATTCATTTCTAGGCTGTCAAGCTGTCCAGGTTACTGGAACCCAGCAGCCATTCCCGGGCCCTCGCCTGCTTGTCTAGCGGGCGGTCTTGCATGGGATGCTCACCTGCCAGGGCCTGCAGGGGTGCAAGTGGTTCCCATGACCGCCCCGTGCTGGGGGATGCCACACGCTGGAGCACAACCATGAAAGCCCCGAGAACACCGAGGGCTACAGAGTGGAGAACTTGCCTCCAGACATTTTCAGTTCAGTTTTGGGTGGAGGTGAAACGCCTTGATGAATCAGGTCCTTTGGGAAGAGTACCGGCCTGCCAGTTAGCAGGGTTCTCGGAGGGAACCTGCTCTGCAGAATCAGGGCAAAGGGTCAACCTACCCTGCACACCAGGAGTTTCCTAGACACACACAGAAGGTATGTCTCCTAAAGAGGAACCCGATCTTTCATTTCGCCAGTATCAGGCCAACGCTACTCCCTGTTTTCAAATCCTTCCTCTCTCCTTCCTCATCTTATTACGTAGGATTTGAGGAGAGGGGAAGACCCAGCAGCTAGAGGCTGAGCTTTCCACTTCTGGAAGGCCTAAACACAGCCCCACTGGTCACTTTTAAACCATTGTGGGGCTGGTGCCTTCCTAGCGGCCATGGCAATACCCCCGTCCGGGTGAGCGAGCAGACTTTTTACTTCTGCAGGGTTATCCTGGGTTATGGGGATTAAACAATCCTCCAGAAGCCCTTTCTCATTTTGTAATTCTATCCTCGTCCACCCTCTTCCTTTATCACTTGTGAAGCAAGGACTTTGGATAATATTTGTTTCCTTTTATCCATCTTGCAGTGGGTTGAATACTGTCCCCCCCAAAATTGATGTCCACCATAAATTTTAGAATGTGGCCTCATTTGGAAATCGGGTCTTGCAGATGTAATTAGTTACGTTGAGGTCATACTTAACTCACATACGACCTAAAATCCACTAAGATCCTAAATCCAGCTCCGTGTCCTTATAAAAGGCCAGGGGGAGACACAGAGACAGACAGGGAGGAAGGCCACGGGGTGATGCAGGTAGAGCTGGACAAGGAAAACTAGGACCGCCAGCAGCCGCCAGAAACGGGAAGAGGCAAGGAAGCGTGCTTCCCTTGAGCCTTCCATGGGAGTACGGCCCTACCGACACCTTGATCTCAGACGTCTGCCTTCCAGAACCACGAAAAAACTAATTTCTGTTCTTTTTTTTTTTTTTGTGGTTCGCGGGCCTCTCACTGTTGTGGCCTCTCCCATTGTGGAGCACAGGCTCCGGACGCGCAGGCTCAGCGGCCATGGTTCACGGGCCCAGCTGCTCCGCGGCATGTGGGATCTTCCCGGACCGGGGCACGAACCCGCGTCCCCTGCATCGGCAGGCGGACTCCCAACCACTGCGCCACCAGGGAAGCCCCAATCTCTGTTCTTTTAAGCCACCCAGTTTGTGGACTTGTTATAGCAGCGCCAGGATACGAATATAATCCGATACTTTAATTTCTGCTTTGCATTACATTTAGGCTTATGAAGATTAAGCAAATACAATTAAAAATGAATTATTTAAACCTTTACTTCATCAGTGTTCCACTTATTTTCTGTAACAATAGATAGCATTCTCTGTATCCACCAATACGACAAGAATCGTGTTTGGGTTAACCCCAAGTTTCTAGCAAAAAAAGCCTATCTCAGCAAGGCACCTTCAAAGCTTCCTCAGCGATGTTCTAGAATGCCGCAGGCATTCCCAGACAATTTAGAGACTCAAGGGAGAATATTGTTTCCTTATCTGAGTGTTATTTATCTCGGTCATATGCAAATAAGTAAAAAGTTCTTTAGACGAGAGTCACTGAACAGTATCGTTTGGCACAGAAGTTAGTAAGAAGACATCCCTAATTTAGGAACAAGGAAACGAGGCCTACCGTGTCTCTCCAGAGCACCCTAAAGGAGGGCCACGACGTCAGTGATGTTATCACTGACCGCCTGGTTTAGGGGCTTTCTGCGTGGTCGCCCCTCAGAGGAGCTACAGTTTTTCCCTCTAGTAGTCAATAAGGAGTTTGTGGGTACGTACTTCGAGGTTACATAGATAGCCTGTTCCTCCAACCTTCCCCCCGTCGTGTGTGTCCATTGATGATCCTTGCCTAAACCGAGCAGCCCTGATGGTTTCAGGTGGCGACGCTCCAGCGTGGACACTCCTGCTCTACTTAGCGGCTGGCGTCGTACTGCAGGAAGGAGCTTTCCTTCCTCCCATTTACGCATTATTTAGTTAGAGCAGAATGGACTCACTGGATGCTTGTTTTATTCAATGGGCTATAATCCATTACTGGTATCGTTTATTTCAAATCTCATCCCAGATTGGGCCAGTGAGCGCCCCTTCATTTTTAAGCACTTCCTTATTTCTTGGCACAAGATATTCCAGGCTCATCTCACTTTCTCTGCCCAGTGCTGACCCAGCCTCCAAGGATGCCTGACTGGCTCCTTCGGTGGAAAACGTTACAGAGAAACTGAGATGCAGCACCGGGTGTGCTCACTGCTGCCGGGGTGTTACTGTTCCCAGGGCCCCTCAGCGGGCAGAGAGAGGGCATTTTACATACACGCACACACGACCCATACCTACACAACACAGACACACACACACACACACACACCCACACCCACTATGTACACACACATCACACACACACATATTTCTCCCCCTACTTCCTCTCCAGTTCTTCTTGATATCTTTAATTCCAACCCAACACCACATGGTTCATTCTGTCCCTCCTCCCCCGCCACCAATATTCGTAACTCCTTTACCATCAGCGAGAAGCTGTCTCTCTTCTGTGTTATTCCTGACAAAGATGCATAATCTGAACCTAACCATGAAGAAATGCCAGACACACACACACGGGACAGTCCATAAGATAAATGGCTTGTATCCTTCATAAATGGCAAGCTCATGAAAGACAAAGGAAGGCCAGGAAACAGTTCCAAATTAAAGGCGACTAAACCCACAGGACAACCAAATGCAAAGTGTGGCCCCAGGCGAGTCCTGGCCCAGGGAAAAAAAATCTATAAAAGACATTATTGGACATTTGATATAATTTTGAGTATGGACTGTGGATTAGATAATAGCATTATAACTGTTAAACTTGCTTATTTTGATCTTTGTGTGCAGTTATATGACAATGTCTTGTTCACAGGAAGTACATACTGAAGTATTTAGAAATAAAAGGGCATAGCGTCTTTAACTTGCTTTCAAATGGTTCAGGAAAAAATGTGTGTGTGTGTATACGTACATCTACACACACACACACACACACACACACACACACACACACACACACACACACACACACACACACACAGATGAGAGAAAGTAGGGGGAGAAGCAAATGAGGACAAATGTTAAGAATTTGTCTGCCAGTTGAACCTGGCCCCCCACGGCTGGACCAGAGGCGATTCACCATTTCCTCTGCCCTAGGTTCACTCAACTCAAGATGGAAAGTCCCAGAAGAGAGAGGCCCGTAGCCCACCTTAGGCCCTCTCCTGCCTCCTGCTGGACCTGGGCTCTGGCGGAAGGTCACGGGGCTGCCATAACGGGATGGAAAATCCTGAGACTCACCTACCTATCACACCTGCACACAAAGGAGGGAAGTCAATTCCCCAAAGGAAATCAAAGTGCTGTGAGGAAGAGGCAACGCATGCTGGGTAGAAAAACAGAAAAAATGTCCTTCGCAGGAATGTTAGAAGAAAAGCTAATTCTCTTCTTTTACAGCTAAGGAAGCTGAGATCTAGAAAGGTTAAATAACCTTTCAAGGTCAAAGAGCAAGTTGGAGGTAGAGATGGAATAGAAATGAAGACAAATACGCTATCTTCTTGCAACTCACAGTGTGGTCTATGGACGCAAAGCACCGCATCACCTGGGAAGTGAAGACTCAGTCACCACCCAGATCTACTGCGTCAGAATCTGCATTTTAACATGTTTCAGGTGATTCCCAGGCACACTAAGTGTGAGAAGCACCTTTCTATCTCTGTAGGTCTCAACCTTAAAAAAGAAAAATAGAATTTGTGATTATAAGAGTTCTACAGGAGCTCCTGGTAACATGCTTATTTTCTTCTGTGAGTTTGAAATTGTATCAAAATAAAGTTTCAAAACAAGGGAAAGATAAACACCCGCTAACTAAACGGGAACCACTTGTGGCTAGATTAGCAGTAGACCGGAGACGAGTGGACAAGCGAACTGCTGTGGCAAGAGCCAGATGTCTGAAGTCACACCTGAGATCCTGTGGGCGCTCCACCCACCAGCCTGGGCCTGAGAAGCTGTAAAAGGCGCGGAGGCCAAGAGTGCGCCGGTGAGACGGAGCTGAAGGGATTCAGAACACGCTGCTGCAGCATCAGCGTTATTTTGAGCAGAAGACACGTGAGTCCTGAAATCGCTTATCTGCCTAAAAGCAGAGCCTCTGAGAAAGAACTCAGCTGTCATACATCCTCCCCTGGGAGCAGCCAGGAGAGACTGAGTCTTACTGCCAGAAACGGGACGTGTCCACATCACACCTAAACAGACATTGGCACAACGGTATCCTAGCTCTCAGCTAGTCTCCTAAGGGCACATGTACCTTTCCAAAAAGTTACCTGTTTTCCCAAAAGCGCCCTTCTCTTGCCCCTCTTCCCCTATTAAGATGGCATACAATCCCCAAATTCTAAGGCCCCCTGGAGTCACGTTTTTCTGTGAACTCCCACACATACGTGGTTAAATCTGTCTTTTCTCTTGTGAATCTGTTTTTCTGTCAGTTTAATTCACATGCCCCCAATCATTCAACCTAAGAGGGTAGAGGAACAATTCTTCCTTCCCAACAGAGATCAGCAGGGGAGAAAACCCACTGAGAGTGTGGGTTAGAGACTAGACAGCCCAGCTCTGCACTCCGCCCTCACCATCCGCCTGCTCCAGGGAGTGTGGGATTCACGAATCTCCTGTGAGAGAGCTTCTCAGAGCACACCAGGCGCTCTCAGAACACAAAGTGATCTGCGTGTAACTTGTTCAGGTTTCATTTTCTCTCTGAAAGTCCTGACCCAGCGAGGCCACTCACTAAGCTCAGAGTTAATATACTTGTTTCACCCACAGCCCTTTTATTATCCTGCCAGTAGTCAGTGGTCATTTTTCTGTGGGTGGGGGCCAGGATTATCTTCAGTGGACCAGAAACCCCTGAAAACCTCGAAGGTTTTCAGTCTGTCTGTCACTGTCAGAACCAAAGATGGACAGCTCAGCCGTGTTCCTGGTCACTGCTGCCACCACCAATAAACCATTCGACAGTTATGGGGAGGTTGGTCATCCACGTGCGTTTTATCATGAAACTGGGGGCAGGGGGCACTGGCTGCACGGAGGCACCGTGCCCAAGGACTTACCACTGATCCCTGGAGAACGAGACGATGAAGCGAATGCCGGGGGGAAGTGGGGCCATTTACGTCTCACTGACCGGGGAGCTTCGGTCACGAAATAAGATGCTTCATAAATAGGTTCTTAATCCTGGGAAGCATGCAGGGGTGTCCTGTGGGGTCTCGCCTCCCCTCTTCCTTCCAGCAGAGGCTCGGCTCTCTATAAGGAGAAGGAGGGGTGGAAAAGTCAAGTGTTCTGACAATGGCACCGTCGGAGGCCCTGGCAGAAGTAACCGCACGTGGTGTGGTCACCCAGCCCACAGCAGAGCTGGACTTCCCTGCAACAGGGCGCTCCCACCATGAGAGCCACCAGGTAGGAGTAGAGCATCCGTCCTCGGGTGGGGTGGGGGGCAGCTTGTTCAAAGGTCACTGAAATGAACTTCACATGATGTGTAAGAAAGAACCACTGATTACAGAAGAGCTGACACCTATCCTTCTCAAACTCTTCCAAAATATAGCAGAGGGAGGAACACTCCCAAACTCATTCTACGAGGCCACCATCACCCTGATACCAAAACCAGACAAAGATGTCACAAAGAAAGAAAACTACAGGCCAATATCACTGATGAACATAGATGCAAAAATCCTCAACAAAATACTAGCAAACAGAATCCAACAGCACAGTAAAAGGATCATACACCATGATCAAGTGGGGTTTATCCCAGGAATGCAAGGATTCTTCAATATTACGCAAATCAATCAACGTGATACACCATATTAACAAATTGAAGGATAAAAACCATATATGATCATCTCAATAGATGCAGAGAAAGCTTTCGACAAAATTCAACACCCATTTATGATTAAAAACCCTGCAGACAGTAGACATAGAGGGAAGTTTCCTCAACATAATAAAGGGCATATATGACAAACCCACAGCCAACATCGTCCTCAATGGTGAAAAACTGAAACCAGTTCCACTAAGATCAGGAACAAGACAAGGTTGTCCACTCTCACCACTATTATTCAACATAGTTTTGGAAGTTTTAGCCACAGCAATCAGAGAAGAAAAAGAAATAAAAGGAATCCAAATTGGAAAAGAAGAAGTAAAGCTGTCACTGTTTGCAGATGACATGATACTATACATACAGAATCCTAAAGATGCTACCAGAAAACTACTAGAGCTAATCAATGAATTTGGTAAAGTAGCAGGATACAAAATTAATGCACAGAAATCTCTGGCATTTTTATACACTAATGATGAAAAATCTGAGAGTGAAATTAAGAAAACACTCCCACTTACCACTGCAACAAAAAGAATAAAATATCTAGGAATAAACCTACCTAAGGAGACAAAAGACCTGCATGCAGAAAATTATAAGACACTGATGAAAGAAATTAAAGATGATACAAATAGATGGAGAGATATACCCTGTTCTTGGATTGGAAGAATCAACATTGTGAAAATGACTACTACCCAGAATCTGTACTCTACTATAGATTCAATGCAATCCCTATCAAACTACCACTGGCATTTTTCACAGAACTAGAACAAAAAATTTCACAATTTGTATGGAAACAAAAAAGACCCCGAATAGCCAAAGCAATCTTGAGAACGAAAAACGGAGCTGGAGGAATCAGGCTCCCTGACTTCAGACTATACTACAAAGCTATAGAAATCAAGACAGTATGGTATTGGCACAAAAACAGAAAGATAGATCAATGGAACAGGATAGAAAGCCCAGAGATAAACCCACGCACATACGGTCACCTTATCTTTGATAAAGGAGGGAAGAATATACAGTGGAGAAAAGACAGCCTCTTCAATAAGTGGTGCTGGGAAAACTGGTCAGCTACATGTAAAAGTATGAAATTAGAACACTCCCTAACACCATACACAAAAATAAACTCAAAATGGATTAAAGACCTAAATGTAAGGCCAGACACTATCAAACCCTTAGAGGAAAACATAGGCAGAATGCTCTATGACATAAATCACAGCAAGATCCTTTTTGACCCACCTCCTAGAGGAATGGAAATAAAACCAAAAATAAATAAGTGGGACCTAATGAAACTTCAAAGCTTTTGCACAGCAGAGGAAACCATAAACAAGACCAAAAGACGACCCTCAGAATGGGAGAAAATATTTGCAAATGAAGCAACTGACAAAGGATTAATTTCCAAAATTTACAAGCAGCTCATGCAGCTCAATAACAAAAAAACAAACAACCCAATCCAAAAATGGGCAGAAGACCTAAATAGACATTTCTCCAAAGAAGACATACAGACTGCCAACAAACACATGAAAGAATGCTCAACATCACTAATCATTAGAGAAATGCAAATCAAAACTACAGTGAGATATCATCTCACACTGGTCAGAATGGTCATCATCAAAAAATCTAGAAACAATAAATGCTGGAGAGGGTGTGGAGAAAAGGGAACATTCTTGCACGGCTGGTGGGAATGTGGATTGGTACAGCCACTATGGAGAACAGTATGGAGGTTCCTTAAAAAACTACAAAAAGAAATACCATATGACCCAGCAATCCCACTACTGGGCATATACCCTGAGAAAACTATAATTCAAAAAGAGTCATGTACCGAAATGTTCATTGCAGCTCTGTTTACAATACCCAGGACATGGAAGCAGCCTAAATGTCCATCAACAGATGAATGGATAAAGAAGATGTGGCACATATATACAATGGAATATTACTCAGCCATAAAAAGAAATGAAATTGAGTGATTTGCAATGAGGTGGATGGACCTATAGTGTGTCATACAGAGTGAAGTAAGTCAGAAAGAGAAAAACAAATACCGTATGCTAACACATATACATGGAATCTAAGGAAAAAAAAAAAAAGGTCATGAAGTACCTAGGGGTAAGACGGGAATAAAGACACAGACCTACTAGAGAAGGGACTTGAGCATATGGGGAGGGGGAAGGGTAAGCTGTGACAAAGTGAGAGAGAGGCATGGACATATATACACTACCAAACGTAAAATAGATAGCTAGTGGGAAGCAGCCGCATAGCACAGGGAGATCAGCTTGGTGCTTTGTGACCGCCTGGAGGGGTGGGATAGGGAGGGTGGGAGGGAGGGAGACGCAAGAGGGAAGAGATATGGGAACATATGTATATGTATAACTGATTCACTTTGTTATAAAGCAGAAACTAACACACCATTGTAAAGCAATTATACTCCAATAAAGATGTTAAAAAAAATAATAAACAGATGGACAGTGGAAAAAAAAAAAAAAGAAAGAACCACTGAATTCCTCTTTATCTGGAAGCCCTCCTGAGATCAACCTGTTCACTCCCAATCACAGTACTCTGCAGAGCTAACATTCATATTCACAGGAGGCCCATATGTGCCCAGTGGTCGCACCAGGTGCTCCATCACCAGGGTGCCAGGGAACTGGCCGTGCTCCATTCCCCCAAGCTGTGTCCCGGGCTACGTCTGAGCCAGTAACAGAGAGGAACATAGGCCTGGACAAGGTGGCAGGTCATGAAGCCCATCATCTGACTGTGGCTTTGCAATGCAGTCTAAAAGCACGTAATGCCGTGGGAATGAACTTCAGCTCGTCTGTGCCACCTCATTTCTCACACCTGTGGTCACCTCAGAGGCCTTGGAAAACGGCCCCATTCTGCAGTCAGGGCTGAAGGCAGAGCCAGATGGGAAGGAAGGCGCAGGGAGGCCTGGTCTCCTGCCCCAAAGCCAACCTCACGACTCGTGCCATTCTTCAGTTTTTCTCCTATGTTTGGTGACAAGGAATCTTTGGGACCCATGCATTAAATCACACAGCACAGAGTGCATGCACAAGCATGCACTGTTCCACCTTAATGCTTCTCGAAAAGTCACAGGTTATATAACGTTGTTCAAGAAAGCTACTTTTGGGCTTCCCTGGTGGCGCAGTGCTTGAGAGTCCGCCTGCCGATGCAGGGGACACGGGTTCGTGCCCTGGTCTGGGAAGATCCCACATGCCGTGGAGCGGCTGGGCCCATGAGCCATGGCCGCTGAGCCTGCGCGTCCGGAGTCTGTGCTCCGCAACGGGAGAGGCCACAACAGTGAGATGCCCGTGTACCGCAAAAAAAAGAAAGCGACTTTTGACTAAACATTCATCTCGAGTTAAAGCTGAAATGTATTCAGTGTCTTTAAACAACTTCCTTGAGAGAACAGATAAGTAATAGCAAACAGCTCCGATTTAGAGGACCTCAACTATTCCTCAGCGCCTGTGTCTCCCCAATTAAAAGAGTTTTCCCATGTTCATTCCTGCTCTCCCTCCAGAGTGAGCTTTCAAAATGCACCCTGCCAAGCTCTCCCACCCTCCCCACTCCCCCCACCTCCTCTCAGTGAGGCACTGAGGCCCCTCTGCTCCAGCCAGGGGAACTACAGCTTTGCTCTGGACAGCCAGCCCGGCCACTCGGCCTGCACCCACACCCCACCGGGGCCCTAACTATGTCACAGCCGCAGCTCTTCATCCCACCAGAGTGCCACCTGCCCCGACAGCTGACCCTGGGCCGGGTAATCCTAGGCACGCCACCGGCTTTCTGCTCCCTCACCTTCCCCAGCTAGAAAATAGGGATGATGGTACCTACTTAGGGTTGTTATAAAGATGCAATGAGTGATCCATGGACAGCCCTCAGCACAGAGCCCGGTGTGGAGGAGATGCTCAGTAAACAGCAGCTGGTGTCGTCTCAGTAGAAATCAGGGAGGAAGGCCCAGCGCTGCAGGCAGCCACCTGGTCCCCATCCCCTGGTTCAGAACCCAGCACAGAGCGAGCGGTCAGGAGATGCGCTGAACCAAGCTCCACAAGTGCTTCGCAATGTTTTTGCTCAAATCTCTATATTTAAAAAAACCATTTTACTAAAATTCTTCTCAGAATGAGTGGACTCCTGTTTGGGCCTAAATATACTTTGAGAAACAATCTTTGAGTGACTCCTTTAGAGTAAAGGATTTGGGCTAAGTTTTATAGCACCTGGAAATGGATGGTCAGAGTCAACTTTCCTCCTCTGTCCAGATGCTGCTTCTCTAGGTACCTACAGCTCATCTGGAAATATTCTATTGCCATCTATTACATCGACTAATCAATGAACCTCAATTCAATTCTGGTAAAACCTGTAATGTTAAAAAAAAAAGAAATCCAGAAGACATTGGAAAAGTCAGCAGGAAAAAAAAAATATCTTGATTTCCTTTTAAAACCATGGTTCTTACCTCTGTAAAATGGGTGAACTCAAGCGCTATAAGTTTTCACTGTAAGTGCAATTAAGATGTGTAAACATAGAGATTTTACACGTAGGACATTAAGAGCTCTATTTAATGAGGCCCCTTCCTCCAAAGCCTGGACGGTGCCCACTGAAAATCATTCCAGCGACAGCCAGTCAAGACCGCCAAGGTCATCAGTGACAAATTCCGTGCTCTCCTGTGAGCCCCACTGCCTTGTCAGGGAAGAGGCCCGGAGGCTGATCTGGGTTGGCTGGACGCTGTGGGGCAAATTCAGGTTGGTCCAGTTTCCCTCAGTGCCCTCCTCCCTCCAACCTGCTTCCTCTGGGCAGGTCTCCTCCAAAGAGAGGGCGGCAGAACTGGAGCAGATCACTTGGTTTAAGCCCCGTTTTTGGCACATAATCCAAGCACATAAAAAAGAAAACGTACTTTTAAAAAAACGGCTCTTAATAGGCACCCTTGGAACTCACCACTCCAGTAGGGAAAAGTGTCAGAATACCCAGTTTCATCCTACTGTTAAAGACAGCAACTTCAGAAACACCCCATTAGAGCATCTCTCTTACAATCTAAAATATACATTTTTATACCCATGTTCCGGAAGTGCCCAACCTACTCTATAAACTACATAACTATAAAATGGGATGACCTGAGGGCAATACACATTCTGGAGCCCAACCCTCAGCACACTACCTGGGGAACAGTTCGTACTCGCTGGAGACGAAAAATGAGTAAAGGGTCTTCCCACAACTGAAGCACTGTGGTCAGTAATCAAAGCAGCCCCAGGCGCATGTTAAAGAATCTACTTAAAGGCAAGGTTTTTCAAAGTAGATCTTATTTTAAGGCAAATGCAGGGGGCGGGGGGAATGCATGTTCCCCAAACAAGTGAGAGAGAGAGAGAGAGAGAGAGAGAGAGAGAGAGAGAGAGAAACACTACTTCCTTTTCAGAGAAAACACTTTGTATGGTCTGTGCTTTAAAGGCTGTAAGCAATATTAAAAATTAATGACAATAGCCAGTATTTCTTTCCTGGGCTTAAATACAAAAAGGAATCCTCTACCTGTACCACTTTCTCCCACCAACAAACAGAACCTCAAGGTGGCGGGTACAACACAGAACATGCAAATGCCGTTCCAAAACCACATGGTGAGACACTGGAGGTCTAGAGCCCTGGGTTCTCAAGGTTGACCTTAAAAGACATTAAAGAAGGAGCCATGGGGGGAGGGGGAGATCTAATCTAGTTACCAACTCGAACATCCTCACACAATTCAGATTCAAGGGCAGGTGGGCACTTTCCAGACAGAAAGCTCAGGGAGAATAAAGGGAAGGCGGGCTTTGGAATTCCACCCGGAGAAATTCAAACCTGGCGGTGTGCAGAGGGGCCTTCCAGGATCCTGGTCGCAGTCCTAGGTCGCCAGGTCCCCAGGATCAGCAGCGTGGCTGCAGGGGCTGGGAGGGCCGGCGGCTGGGGGGTGTTGGAAAAAAGAGCCTGACGGTTGGGGCCCCGAAGCCGGGTGACTTTCCGGGGCTTTGAGTCCAGTCAAATCCCTCCAGGAGGCTCACCGGCTCCGGGAACCAGCTGCTCAGACGAACAAGCCGAAGGCCCAGGGAGCCGGCGCTCCGAGCCTCCCGCCGGCTTTGGCGTCGGCTCCTCCCCGGCGGCCCGTCCCGGAGGAGGACTGGCGGGCACACCCACGTCCCGCCGCGCCGCCCACCCCGCGCGGGGCTCCCCTCTCGAGCCCCGGGCTGGGCTGTCACCGCGGTCGCCCGGTCGGGGAAAAGGCCCGGAGGACGGCTGGGCTCGCCCCCGCCCGGGGCTCCGCTGGGCGGCTGCTGGCCGGGCACCGGCTCCCCCGGGGTCCGCTCGCCGGGTCCGGGGGCGCCCGGCCGCTCCTCCAGCCCCGCCCCCGCCCGCTGCAAGGGCCGCCCCGGGCCTGGGGCCCGCCGGACGCCTCCGCCCCGGACGAGCACAAAGACGCGCGCCCGGCGCAGGGACCCCCGGCCTCCCCGCCCGTCGCCCGCGCTGGCAGGTGTCGCTCGGCCGCGGCGCCCGAGTCCCGCGGCCCGGCCGGCGCGGGCGGTGGGGAGGGGGTCCCCGCGCCGCCCGCTCCCCACCGGCCCCCTCCCGGTCCCCGCGTCTCACCTGCGCCCCCAGGCCGGCGCCCCGCTGCCCGGCCCGGGCGCCGCCGGCGCTTCCTGCTCGCGACTTCCTGGGGCGGCGCGCGGAGGCCCCGGCGGCCCTTTCACTTTCCTGAGGCAGCGGGGCGCCCGGCCGGGCGGTGGCGGCGGCGGCGGCGGCGGCTCGGCCCCTCCCTCTCATCCCCTCGCCGGTCCTCCCGCGGCCCCGGAGCGCACCCGGAGGCCCAGCCAGCCCCGGGGAGGCCGGGCGGGGACGCCGCCACGAGGAGACCCCAGGCCACCGCCGCTCAGGACTCCTCCCCGCGGTCCCCGCTCCTTGCACCTGCCTGCGGGCGCCCGGGCTTGAGTTCGAAACTGACCAAAGAAGAGCTCCCCAAGGACCCTTTGTCCTCAAGGTAAGTCCTCCCGGACAGCAGCGGAGCCGGGCTTCCCGAGAAAGGACCGGCACTAAAGGGGGCCAGCCTTGGTCTCCTGGACATTATTCTTATTACCTCCTCTCAGGGTCAGACTCATGAGACTAGCCTCGTATTAAGTGAAAATGGGGCCCACGATCGGCTGTGGTGAACCATCTTTGATCACACCTGTGTGTGTGTGTGTGTGTGTGTGTGTGTGTGACACGCCCCTCACGTGGCTGTGCTGGAGAACCTCACTGGGTCTCAGTCTCCTGAACCAGACGGACCCTCCCCGGTACCATAACAGGCTTCCCACCTCACCCACGAACAGTGTTTGCGAATCCCACGCTCACTTCTTGCCAAAAAGTGACCGGGCACCGCCCCGCACAAGCCTGATTATTTTCCTGGGGTACCTGCAAAGCACCCGCGGTAGACACATGGCATCTAAATCCAGCCCAGGTGCCCAGCTCCCAGGAAAGCACCTCCCTGGAAGGGCCCAGTGAGGCAGAAAGCATGTTTTGCAGAAGAAATTGCAGGAAGAAGTCTCCCCCTTGTTAAAACAATGCTTAAAGTTAAAACCAATCCAAGCAGGAATAAAGACGCTGACGTAGAGAATGGACTTGACACAGGGAGGGGCAAGGGTGAGCTGGGACGAAGTGGGAGAGTGGCATGGATATGCACACTACCAAATGTAAAATAGATAGCTAGTGGGAAGCAGCCGCATAGCACAGGGAGATCAGCTCGGTGCTTTGTCACCACCCAGAGGAGTGGGAGAGGGAGAGTGGGAGAGGGAGGGTGGGAGGGAGACGCAAGAGGGAGGGGATATGGGGACATATATATACATATAGCTGATTCACTTTGTTATAAAACAGAAACTGACACCATTGTAAAGCAATTATACTCCAATAAAGATGTTAATAAATAAATAAAACCAATCCAAGGCCTGGCAGGATCACCCTGCTCTGCAGCCACCCCAGGCTCTGCTCCGGTCTCCTCCTCTCTCCCGGAGCATCAGCCTCCCTGCCTGCAAGCTCTCCCCTCCCAGATCCACTCCTCCAGCCCTTCACATTGCCCTCCTAAAGCAGACGGGACCCTGGCGTTCCTGATGAGAACCCTTCAAGATCCCCCTCCGGATCAGGAAAGAGCCTCAGTCCTCAGTAGCTGGAAAACAAGACCCTAACCCGCTCTCGACTTCACGACCAAAGCTCAGGACCGCTCTTTTAGTTTCCAGGACTTTCTCACACGTTGAGTGGCTATTTCTGCCTTAGCCCTCCAGACCCCGGCTCTTCCTAGTGAGTTCAGACTTCGAGACCCAGGTCAGGTGTTTGTCTGTTCCTTTCCCAGGGCACTGTAGATACCTCTTGCTCCTGACTTAGCACACCCAACTGGTACTGGTTATTTCTAAATCTGTCTCCTGGCCCCTAGCCTGGGACTGGAGGGGTTCTCGGGGCCTTGCCCTACTCAGAAGGTCGCATCCACGTTTGCCAAGTGCATGAACAGGTGCGGAAGGACTCAGCACGGGGATGCTCCACGTTCCCACACCATTTCTCACCTGGAAAATGATGGTGTTTGTATGGCACACTGGGGAGAACCAGACGGACCTGAGGTGGTCTATATAACACTTGCCGAAAATATTCATCTATGAATTTTACAAAGATTAAAATATTAATCTTTTAGAAAATATTAGTTTCTCTATTAATCTTTCGTATGATTGTAAGAAACACCTAAAAATGGATTAGGGAAGTTAGTAAATTTGTATGAAATCTCCACATAAAACGGTTCACATTTTGAAACGAAAACGTGTGATTGCTTTGATGATCATGTCAGGTGTTATGCTTGAAACGACTGCACACAAGCTCAGGACGGAGCACAGCTGGGATGTCACTCTGGAGACTCTCTTGGCGCAGGTAGATGATAACTTTAAAGTCTTTTTTACAATCACACAAATTTCACAAAAGTTGAAGTTATTTTTAAGAATCTGACCCTCTTCCTTTTCTTTCTAGGTGTAATGTTGACATTTCTTGTGCGAATCAATAAATGAATTTCCAACCCAGTTGAACTTTTCATATCCAGCTTTTCGAACTCATGACACAGCGTGGGGACCGGTGGAGGTGTGCCCTCAGGCTGCCGCTGCCACAGCCCCTGGCCAGGGTTCCAGAGAGATGAGTCCAGGGTGCCCAGACCTGGGGCTGCCCGCTCAGCACACCTGCCTGGCCGGGCCTCTGCTTTAACTCGAGACTTCCACGCTTGCTTTGAATTTATTTTGATTTTTATTTCAGAACAAGAGGAACAGACCAAATGAGAGGCACATTCACTCTTATCCGACAGATGTGTCTTGGGTGCCTACCAGGGCCAGAGCGTGCCAGGCGCTGAGGCCTCAGTCAACTGGGGCCTTGCCTTTGCAGAATCCACAGAGCAAGAGGCTCGCGGCAAGAGTGGAAGGGACTTGGGTTCATATCCTGGGGCGGCCATAACTAAAGACCTCAGACTGGGGGGCTTAAGACAATGGACGTTTATGGCCTCACAGGTCTGGAGGCCACAGGTCTAGATCAAGATGCTGGCGGGGCCGTGCTCCTTCTGAAGCCTCCAGGGGAGAATGGGTTTCGTGCCCTTCTCTCAGCTTGCGGCGTCGCTGGCAATCCTGGGTGTTTCTTAGCTTGTAGGTGCATCGCTCTAATAGGCCTCTGTCGTCACCTGGCCTGTCTGTGTTCACCTCATCTCTCCGTGTGTCTGTGTCTCTGTGTCCCCCCCTCTTGTAAGGACACCAGTCATGTTGGATTTAGGCTGTACCCTACTCCGGGAGGACTTCAACGGAACTGACTGTATCCGCAATGATCCTATTCCCAAGTAAGGTCACGGTCAGAGCTTCAGGGAGGGACATGAGTTTGTGGGGCGGGGCAGGGCGGGGCTGGAGGGGGACATTATTTAACCCACTACGAGGCTAAATAAGTCTGAGCAGGTGGTGGAGAAGGCACTCCCAGGCCAGAGGCAGCAGGAAGTGGGCACCTGAGGCCTGAAGAGGCCAGGGATGTGAGCCATTACTGGAACCCAGGGCGCTGAGGCTATAGAGGGACCCCCTGGACCAGGGCGGCACTTTGGTAGAGAAGCAGCAGCGGGGAAGAAGCAGGGAGTCCACAGCCCCACTTCCCCTCCTGCCCTCCAACTGCCCTGATCTAGGAGGGGGGCGGAGGCCGGGGGAGCCCCCCTGACACAGTGCAGCCCAGGACAGATGTGGTCCTTCCCCACCAAGAGCTCCCAGCTAGTGGAGAGGTCAGAAGACAGGTCACCAGCGATCATCACAGCACTGTGTCACACAGTGCAGTAGGGGACATGGGGTGCAAAAGAGGGTCACCTGACCCAGACTTGATGGTCACAGGAGGTGACATCTCAGCAGCATACAAGGAGTTGGCCAAGCGCTCGAGGAAGAGAAGGGACATGGTCTGTGCAGAGGGGGCACAGCGTGGACACAAGCCCGCAGGCTGGTATGGGGAGCGGGGACGGAGCAGGGAAAGGGAGGGGGGAGGCTGAGGACCCTGGCAGCAATCCGGCCCGAGGATGGTTGTCTGGGAGCACAGACTTAAGGAAGGCCCAAGAGGTGAGAGAAAGCAGAAGACGGAGCTGGGATGACACCCAGCTGTCCGGCTTGGGCAGCGAGCTGGATGGCGGCATCTTCATGGAGCGAGGCGACAGACGAAGGACAGGCAGACTTGAAGGGCAGGGTGCGGGCAAGGAATTAATTTATACTTGTTGAGCGTTTGGTTCCCGTGGGCTGTTAACTGGGGTTGGATGTGTGAGTCTGGAGTCTCTGGAAGAATCCTAGGTGGGTGAGAGAGGCCTGGTACAGACAGCAGGGGAGGAGAAAGCTTGCCCGGGGCCGGAGACTAGGGCTGAGCCCCCAGGGGTGCCAGTATCTAAGGGCCAGGCAGGGAGGAGGGCCTGGAAGCTGTGGATGGAGCAGAGGGAAAAGCCACAGAGTGTGATGTCCAGGAAGCTGCAGCAAGGCAGTGTTTGCTGATGGGGAGGGAGCGGGCGTGGAGCTGGAGGCTGCAAGGAAGTCATTGTCTACTGGCCTCACCCTGAAGGTCGTGAAGCTTCCTGGGTGGGGGGTGGCAGAGGCCTGGGTGGGGGTGAGGAAGGAGAGCAGAAAACCATTTCAGGAAGGTTGGCTGCGCTGGGGAGAAGTGAAGGGCCCAAAGCTGGAGAAGGACTCGGGGAGGAAGGACATTTCTTAAACGCAAGGACATTTTCTTTCTTTCTTTCTTTCTTTCTTTCTCTCTTTCTCTCTCTCTTTCTCTCGGCTGTGCCGGGTCTTAGTTGCGGCGTGCATGGGGGATCTAGTTCTCCCTCCAGGGATCGAACCCGGGCCCCCTGCATTGGGAGTGCGGAGTCTTACCCACTGGACCACCAGGGAAGTGCATGGACATTTTCAAGCGTAGACGGAAGTCGAGAGAACCTTATAATGAAGCCCCAGGTACCCACTGCCTGGCTTCATCAATGTGCCACCGATTTTGTTTCCTCTGTCTTGACCCACTTCCTCTCCCAGGATATTTTGCAGAAAATCCCAGACGTTATATTTCACCTGTAAAGTTTCAGTGTGTATCTCTAAAAGATACAGTTTTCAACATAATCACTCTACCGTCATCAGGGCTCCCCAAGCAAGAATAATTCCATAATAGCATCAAATCCCCAGCCCGTGTTCTCACTCCCCTGAGTGCCCTATAGATGGTCTCACTCTGTCAGTGTATGTTCGGATGGGGACCCAAACAGTCCACACATGTATTGTCTGATGTGTCTCCTAGATCTCTCCATCTGGAGATTCCCCTGCATCTTTGTCCTAAGAAGTTTCTTGCTGTTGTCACGGAGGCCAGGCCGTTCTTCCTGCAGAGTCTCCTACGCTTTGCACTGTGCTGACCCCATCGTTGTGATGGGGTCGAACATATTCTTTATGTACTTCCTGTACTACCTGAAATTGGCAAGGAGCTCCCGAGGCTTGATCAGATTCCGGACGATTCAAGCCAGTGAGGCACCTGGTATCTGGTCATCTTCTGCCGTACTTAGACGTTCCTTGCCTAAGTTCATTAATTCATTAGAAGTAGAATTCATAGTTGTGAAATGGACATCATAATTTCATTGTTTCCTTTTTATTTGCTAGCCTACTTCTATAAAGAGAAACTTCCCCTCATCAGTTACTTAGTTAACTCTGAAGCGCGGCTCGTATGGGAGAGGCAGGATACACGTGGAATTCCTTTATTTGCCACTTGTCAAAGTAATGAGTTGACTTTCTACTATTCTTCAAAAGTTAGCCGTGAGTTTTCCTTTGTTCTGCTTTTTTATTCTCCGCACGAGTGGCCTGAGCCACAGTTGCTGTATTTGCATCCATTCCAGTTACTCTCCTTGTTGAATTGCATTGGCCAGTGAGTCCTTCTGACGTGACCCGGGTACCTTTGACAGTGTCCTTGCTTTCTAGGGTGACAAGATGTCCTCACAAGCTCATCCCATGCACCTCCTGCCCCAGACCTGGAAATTAGCCCCTTCTCACGGGAGGCCCAGGTCCCAGAGCAGCCAGAAGGGAGGGTGGGTGTCCACACGTCCAGGAAAGGGAGCTGCGTGCTTGAATGACACATGTCCCTCCAGAGGCGGAAAGACGAGGAATCCAGAACATGTGAGGAGGAATGAGCCTCGGGTTGGAGAAGAGACGATGGAAAAAGGGGAGAGAGCCGTCACTTTGCCAGTGGGCTGGTACGAGGGGAGGGTTCCTCCCTCTGTCCCCTTTGTCGCAGAAGGGAGTCAGTTGTGAAAGTGAAGAAGGAGGTGTTTTGGAGAAATGGAGAGGGTTCCGGGGAACTATTGGGAACCCTGGGGAGGGGACAGCAGGTGTGGCCTGGAGACAAGACAGAGGGTCATGAGACAATGAACTTCTCTCAGCGTCCATCTGAGAGGTGGTGGAAGCGTGTCCGTGAGCCCCAGTGGCGCTGAGAGAGGACAGACAGGTGGACAGCTCCACTTGGAAGGGTTGGCTTTCGCGGCCCCCAACTCGCAGGGAAGACTCACTCCTGTTCCCTGGTCTTAAGAAAGAGGTAACTCTGACACCTGCTGGAGGGTTGGGTCATCCATGGTAGAGAGGCACTAGGAATGCAAACCTACTACGCGCAAACAAGCTCTGTGCTAGTGCTGGGCATTGCAAGGAGAAATCAGACTGGGAAAAAGGACCTTCTGCCCAGAAGCTCTGTCTCTGCAGGAAAACCACGAGGCGTGTGCATCCAGGGGGGAGCAGACATCGCCTGGGGAGGGCGGAAGCGGGCCGATGGCTCCCTGTAGGGAGCTTTGAGGATACTGGGCTTCAGAGCTCGTGAAAATGCCTCCAGCTTAGAAAGCAGAAAAGCATGAAATATTATTAGAGAGATAAGGAAACGGAACGCGTTTCCTGACCGTGAAGGAGTTTCATTTTATCTCCGCTGATCAAAAAGCAAGGATTTTAGCAGTATGGGGCGCTCAACCGGTGAGCCGGGGAGATTTTTGGTTCCATTGCTAATGTTGTTGGTAAAGAACCGAATGAAGAGCCTCCCACTAGAAGCACATCTGTATTCCAGGCAGACAAGAGTCCACACACCAAGGAGCCATAGCCTGACCGAGAATGGAGGAGCAGGTCTGCTGGGTCCCCAGGGGCCCAGAGAGGAGACGGCCAGGCCTCCGGCTGCCTCGGGCTGCAGATCTCTTGATTCGACCCTAGTTGACTCACGTATTCTGTGAGTCACCCCTTCTGTCCCCACCCAAGGCTCTCCTCCTGGATGGGAAAATCTCAGGCAGCAGCCTTAACAGCACTTAGAACTATCCTCGGGGACGTCAGAGAGCTAGATCTCGTCTGCAGAGCAAGAGGTCTAAGCTGGGCAGTAAAGTCGCGGTGTACTCATCGTCTTTGGAAACGTGGAGAAAAGGCTAAGAGTGGGAAGCGGTTGCCTCTGGGCTGTGAGAAGAGGCACAAAAAGGACAAAGCCGTGTATTTTCAAACAGAATAAAAATAAACGTTAATGTTAAAAAAAATAAAACATAGAACGACGTGCTTAGCCTAGGCAGCGGCTTGTTAGCGGTAGGATTTTAGACCCCGTGATACCCGAGTTGGGACGCATTTGGGGGAGAGGAGCCTTGTGAGTCCTACGATAACACCTAACACTTGAGACAACTGACATTTGCGAGGGCGGTCCTGGGCGAACTGCTCGTGTAAGACAGGTGGGCAAAGGTCCCTGCTTCCAGGACCCTGGCAGTTTTTCCTAGTTGAGCGCTTTCTTGCTTTTCTTCTGTATTGGGGTGAGGGGAGTGGTCGCTGGAGGATGCCCGAGTGCCTTGGGCGTAGCTGGACCCTGACTCCAGCGGGGCTGCTAGAGAGGCTTGCACCGAATGCAGGGACTGTTGCTTCCATCGGCCAAGTGTTCCTGGCAGTGGAGCTCCCCTCTGGAGCTCACGTGTTGCCCGAGCCCATGCGCTGTAAATTCCTCCTAGTTTTAAGCCTATAAGGTCATAGCAGGTCAGGGAAAGGGAAATAGGAAACCGGTCCATCAACTAGGGAGTCACCCCTCAGCTGAGCTAGTGCAGATAAATAGGATAACCAAGTTGGAATATTTTTATACGGTCTTCAGCAAGGCTCAGTACTTTTCAGCCTAGGTGTGGTTTGGTAAAATACGTGTCATAAACCAAGGGACTGTACTTTAAACTCCCTCTGGGCCTGTACATACAGACAAGCAGGTACGCCAGAGCCACGGAGGAGAGGCCAGCACCCAGAGCTGAGAAAGGACCCCTCAGGGGGTCATCCCAGAGCAGGGGGGAATGAGGTACCCAGAAAAGACACCTGAAACGGTATTTTCTTAGTAACACAATGGAGTACAATTTCCTTAGGTAACGCCCCCTACATCCTTCAAACTTGTATTAAACATTCCCATTCATTCTTTTATCAAATCTTGATCGAGTCAAGATAAGTTTGGTATATCCTTAAGGTGACATACTTTTCAGTCTTTTAAACACTTTTGAAGAAGTTTGGACATGTCACCCCATAATGGTAAGTGATAAATAAAATGACTTCAATTAAGCACACACATTATATGTACCCATTCAAAAAGCCCGGGAGGACGCGCACCACATGCCAGCAGGGGCACCTCTCTCTGGGAGGTGGGGTTAGTGGTCCTCTTTACTTTCTTCTTTGTACTTTACTGAATTTCCTCAATTTTGCCAAGAGCGTTTAGTAATTTTTAATAATCCGAGCCTAGGCTCTGCGCTAGACTGCAGGGGTCAAGGCCCTGGGACCCTTAGGGAGGCTGACCCCGAAACACAAGTCACAACTATGCAAGGAGGGCAACAGGCACAGCCAGAGGGATGGTCAGAGGGGCCTGAAGCAGCCGGCAAAGGCGTCCCCAGGAGGTGACATCTGGGTAAAGTTGAAGAACTATTCCCCAGGTAGAGAAACAAGACCCAGGTAAGTCTTGCATTTCAGAAAGAGAGCACGACATACACGCATCTCTGAGGGTGTCCTGGAGACATGTGATCTAAATAGTTAACAACAGCTAATGGAGATGGAGAACGAGCCTTAGGGAAAAGTGCTTATCTTCACAAATAATCAAGGAAGTACAAAGTAAAGGCACCAGGAGACGCTGTTTTGCCCAGCAAATTAGCAAAGAAGAGAAAGGACTTACAGCAGACCAGGCAGCAGCAGGAATCGGTCACTCTGCTGGAGGGAGCAGGCCCAGGCCGGCCGTTCTAAAAGACAATGTGGTAGTAGGTATTTAGTCTTAAGGTTCCTTCCCACCGGCCCAGTAACTCTTCATTCTCTATAACCAAATTCTACAGAGTCGGATTTGAGGTGTGGACAGAGATCTCTGCACTCAGATGTCCGTGGTGATTCTCTTTATTTCTTCATTCATTTCTTTATCTGGGGAAGTAGGTTCCCGGGTATTTGTGTGTGACTTTGCTACGTCACTGACACATATGAACATGTATTCTTCTGTTTGCATCAAATATTGTACGATCAGTGAATTAAAAATGTGAGTTCAACTTACACATTACGTTTCTCCAGCATCTGCCGTTTCCAGAGCATTCTCATCCTCACCGTCTTATTTGGTCCTTACGACCTCCTGAAGGTTGGGTAGGGTGAGCCCGACTCTGGGAAGAGCGGCCTGCAGCCTCCCCACCTGCTCCTTGCTCAGAGAGACTGCTCCATCCTTAGGCCTAGAAGGTGCAGCCCCTTGTACCATGGGCTCTCCCACCACCTCTACCACTGGCCAGAGCAAGGTGACAGGTAATATCAAACACAGAAGCAACCTTCCTATCCACTAGTCGGAAAGGACATCCATTCTAGGTTGAGGCACTAACATGTAGCCATCAGATATCATAGTTTTGGTAATTTTTTAAATAGCATGGATTAATGTCAAACTTGCCCCAAATGGGTCTGTACTTTTTCTTCCCTCATTTCCTCATAACCCCTAGTATATGACCAGGGACCCAGCACACACTAAGCCATAGTTATTTAACTGACATACTGAGAGAGCCCCTGGAAAATGGAATCTGATTTAAGGAGAATAAAAAAAACAAGATAGAAGAAAAAAAGAATGAGAAATTGATATACTTTACCTTTTTTTTCTTTCCCAAGTGTTGCATAAAGTACAACTCTGTTACAAAATGCTACCTAACACCACGATCACAAGCTTCTTTGATTGAGGGCTTACTATGTGCCGGGCACTGCTTTGGGGGGGGGGGTGGTGAGGGGAGCACACGTGAGCACAGGTGAGCACAGTCTGTGCCCTCAAGTTGCTGCCTAACATAAACTCGAGCTGGCCCAACTTCCTGATGTCTCCTGGCTCCACCCTGCCTGACTGCATGAACCCGTCCGCCTACTGCTGCTGCTGAATTACTGAATAATCCCACTACCTGGATGGAAAAGAATTTACTTCCTTTCTGGACTATAGCATTCTCAATATCCTTCCATGAAACCGCATACCTCACGTAGGTGTGTAGGGGTGTGTGTATCTGTTTATTTCCTCCTTGTCAGTTGTCACTTTTATAAGAGACATAACATCAAACAGTTAAAAGAGTTCCTTTTACGTAAGAATCTACTCGTCAATATCTTTCTAGAAACTTCGGTCTCTTCCCATCCTCATGTGTATCAGTGCTAATGGATATAAGCATTAAACATAATCTGTTTTTCACAGACTAACTTCTGATTGTCACGATTACCTGGTTGAAACATCTTTGGCAATCTGATCCTCTCCGGGAAGACACAATTGAAAATGACCAAGACAACCTGATGTCAGAACTTCCCCAAAGACCCATGGATGGACAGAACGTGCTTGGTTACTATGTGAGTAACCACAGTGTAATTATTAACAATAATAGCTAACATTTACTAAGTGCGGAGTAACAATAGTACAATTATTAGTAATAGCTAATATTTCCTAGATGTTTTATTGTGTGCTAGGCCCGTGCTAAGCTCATTATAAACATCTTATTTAGACCTCACAACAGCCCTAAAAGGGCAGTGAACTATTACCTCCGTTTTACAGATGGGTAAATTGGCTTCAGAAAGAAGCAAACAGAGCTAGGATTTCAAACCTGGGTCTGACTCCTACCCACTAAATGCCATAAAAACTCCATTTTAAAAAAGAAGTTACAAGGCCTGTGTTTTTATATCTACCTATAGATATACCTAAAAGTGTATGTTTATAATTGTGCATATATATATATATATATAAAATAGTTCCATTCTCAAGAACACAAGTGTTTTAATAAACAACCACACATTTCCACACCGAAGATGGGCCTGAATTCATTTTGTTGAAAGTCCCTGCTTTTTATCTGAGCAGTTGTAAACAAACACAGAAACAACCCTGTTCGCACTTTGCCGACTCCCCTCTGCCTTGTCCTCCACGGTCCAGAAGGGACAGGCTCAGGGCCTCAGCCAGTCGCCATGGCAACGGCCAGGCAGCCCCGACCCAGCTCGGAGGTGGGTCAGAAAGCTGTGGAACACCGGAAGCGGACCCCCAGGAGGCCTCCAAGTCACCTTCCTCCCCCGGGGCGGTCCCACCGTAGGAGCCGAAGCCACTATCCCCAGCCCCTCCGGGCAGAACCACGGATCGAGTTTCCTTCACCCCTTCTTTTGTTGGGGGTGGGAGAAGTAGAGAGAGGAGGGTCTCATTTATATTTAAGAAAAGCAAGAAGATAATTTCTGCCTGGGGGAATGGAGCTGGGAGGAACCGTGGTCCTTCACCTCCGCGGCTCACCTGAAGCCCTGCCGCCTCGCCCCTCCCTTCTCCACGGAGGGCTCATCTGCGCACGCTCCCTGCGGTGGGGGGGGGAGGGGGAGGGGAGGGGGAGGGGAGAGGATGGGAACCCCTTCCCGGGGGGTGATGGGAAGGGCCGGCTGGGGGAGTAGGGGAAGTGCCTCCCTGTCAAGGTTGAGAAGTAGGATTTCCTCCTTTTTCCAGTGAAGAAACTCCTCCTAGTGAGGCCTCACCTTTTTGTCTCCGGGAAAGGAGGATGAGCTATGCCACAGTTTCGCAGGCCTTCGGATTTTGAAATCGCTGCTTCTGTGATCACCAAGTACTTGCCTGTCACGTGGGGCTTAAGGGTCAGGGAGTTTGGGGCTGCCCGGCATCAGGCTGGCCGAATGAGGTCTTTCTGGACTACGCAGGTCTCATAGGGAGAGGGTAGGTGGGGCTTCCTACCTGCAGTGAGCGGGGAGCAGCCTCTTTCTGGAAGGAGTTTCTGGGCTCTGTGCTGCAGGAGGCTGGGAGGCCGGTCCTGATGTTTACCTGATCTTGCCTTATTTGGACGATTGTTAAACCTGCAGGGTAATGAAATTACTATAGATTGACTGAAAGATTTGGCGGGTGGGGAGGATTCTGACTAATTTGCATAAGCCATAAATCCAGCTGTAAATTTTAGGATCTAATAATTCAGTGGCTAGGCACCCAGCGGCTTATGATGTGATCCAGGACAGGGTGTGCTTAAACCACTTTCTGAGTCTTTTAATCGAAGGCTCTTTGAGCCAGTGGTTCTCTGCTTGGTAGATGGTTAAAGTCACTCCCAGAAGAGCATAGTTATGCCTTTAAATCAGAGATCTGGGGGGGCAGTAGAGTGTAGTGATTTACAGCAATAGCTTGGGTCAGATGGCATGGTTTGAATCCCACTGGCTGTGTGATTTTGAGCAATGTCTTTACCTCTCTGTGGCTCCGTTTCCTTAGCTGTACAATGGAGAAATGACAGTGAGGATTTGTTAAGATAATTCATATATAAAACTCTTCAAACACTGCCAGCACAGAGTCAGAACTTAGCAAACATTACTCACTGGCATTTTTAGAGAAAATTTGAAAACTGAATTCCTGACATTTATTTTTATATGCAAAAAAGCTAACATCTGGTTGCATATTCTTGATTGTATTACCATTCCAGATCCCTAATATTTAAAATATTTTGAGGTATTATTATAAAAAGACACACCCCACTGTAGTAAATGTGGCAACTGACAAGTATAAAGAAGAAAACCATAGTCATCGGTCCTTCTAAAGTCCCCACTTTTTCCCAGAAGAAAAACTGTGAATTTGGGGTGTTTACAATCTTTTTCTCTTTGCAACTAACAAACAATATAATTGTAGGGTCTTGTGTGTTAATTTGCCTGTACATTGTTTCTTTTTTCGGTAAGTGATGGATTTGGGCCTGAGATGCGGTTGAGATTGCAACCTTCCATTATGCTGTTGTTTCAGAGGGAAACGTTGGCATGCTGTGTGTCTTCTGGAAGATCTGTTGATTATTCAGCCATTCACCTCATGGATTTGGCCTTTGTGTTTCCTCAGGCACTGCTACCCTCCCCCATCTCCCCATCCCCCAGCAACATCACACGACACACCTGGGAGGGGGGTGGGTGGGTGCGAGGAGAACTTTCTATTAACGATATGTGATTTCTTTGTTAGATCTTCATTGATGGCATTATATAGCTATCATAATAAATAACGATACATTAATAAGGTACCATTTTTGATCCCCAGGGCAGCTCTTCGAGTTTGGAAGGGTTTATTCCCCTCAGTTTACAGAATAGGAAACTGAGGCTCAGGGCAGGTGAGTTGCCTGAGGTCACCAAAACGAATAGGCCATGGGAACCCAGAATTTGACATTGGGCATTCTGGCTCTAGGGGAATAATATTTCCACTAAACGAAGATGACTTTAAGACCTGGTTTCCCTCCATTTAGATCAATTTTTTAAAATACTTAAATATTAGATTTAAATAAACAAAAAGTTGGGGTTATTGTTGAAGTATTAAATCTCAAAAGCAGCTAAGAGCACCATACAATATTTAGATTTAAGATGAAACACAGTTATTTGTATAATTTGCAAAAACACATTAAAATGTACGATGGCCAAACCATATATAGAAATAGAACTCTGACCCACAAGTGGCAGCGACAAAGCCCAGGAAACCAACCCACTATCCACAGTAGCCATCGCAAGAAGCCGGCCTACTGTAGGCCAGACTGGCAGGAAGTCAGTCGCTAGCTCTACTAGCTGATCCAGTAACAAACAATAACCCCTTTAACAATGGGCTCCAAATGGCCAGGACTTGATTATCACTGAGAGGCACCCTAATTTTTGCCCCCCCCTTCCCCCGTAGGACCAACCAGAGAAAGCTGAATTTTTACTGTAACCAAACACATGGGCTGTCTCGGTTCTCCCGAGCCCTCTGGCAGCTTTCCCACACCCACAGCCTGCAGTCAGGGCACCAACCCCCTTCCTTTTTCCCACCATAAAGCTTTCCCTCTCCTCTGCCTGCCTTTGAGTCTCTGCCGAAATGCAAGTGATGGTGGCTGAGTCCCTTGCTATAGCAAGCCGCGAATAAATAGTCTTTGCTTGTTCTCATTGGGTGGTCTTTGTTTACTTGCACACACAAAACAGAGATTCTTTTAAGTAAAAGTGATAAAGGAGAAACACTTCCATCTCACCAGGGGATCGGAAGGCCCACATGGACTGGATTTCCGTGGCCTGGTTTAGCATCCACTGTGTGCAAAACATGAGGTGCTGAGGGGGAAACGAAGATGAGGGCGGCATGGCTCCTGATACCCAGATGACTGTCACATGAGACAGAACTTGTCTCGTGTATTTGATGAAGATGGCTAAAGGCACGATGGGAATTACGAGAGACACAGTGAGCACAGCTAACTTGAAGGATCAGTAGAAACTGGAGGGAGGTGTCCAACATTTAGAGCAAAAAGTTAAAAATACAGAGAAATATGGTTATTATATACTAATAAAAACTCACTACTTAAAATTAAATTTTGCATGTTGTCACACTCAGACCTTTAAAATATATAGGTAGATGGATGGATGATAGCCAGATAGATGATACAGAGCTGAAGGGCTTTCCTCTTTCTCTAAGCCCCATTCCCCTCTTCCTCCACGAGGGCACCCTTATCATGAATTTGGAGCTTTTTCTGGAAGTGGTCTCGTATCCAGTCTTTGATGAATGGCTATGACTTTTGATAGGCAGGGCTGGGGGAAGGAAGACTTTCCAGGGAGAGTCTGACACAGGCAGAGGCATAGAAGTGGAGAAGTGAAGGATGTACTGGGGCAAGTGCCTGTGGTTTTCTTTTGTCTGAAGCATCTAAACCAGTATAAGAAGGGGATGGTGTGCTGTGAGGCTGAGAGGATGACTTAGGGCTTGAACATGGAGGGACTGAACGCCAGTGGATAAGGCTGGTCTGCATTTGGGCTTCGGAGTAGAGAAGGAACGTGAGGTGGTGAAGAGTACCAAAGGCTGGAGATAGAGAGGCTGAATTAGAGACCACTGCTAGAACTTACAGGCTGGGATCAGGGCTGGTGACAGACGAGTTGGGAAGGAGATCATGAGGGGCCCTGGGCAGGCCGAGGGTCAGATGACAGGAGGGAAGCTAGGAGGAGGGGCCCATTAACGAGTGGGAGTGAGTGTCCATGTGCAGGTGTATGTGTGCGCGTGTGAGTGACTGTCTAGGCGTGTGTGAGGGAGCGAGCTCCATATGGGAACCCCAGGGGGCTGGACTCACACCTAGGGTGGAGGAGAGACGTCAAACCCTGACGGGCATCAGGGTAGATTGCATCTGCTAGTAGGTCGGAGCTGACTCCTTGAGTCAGGAGGAGATGTTTACAAACACGAGAAAAGATCTCGAAGAACACATCTCTGTGGACCGCCAACACCGAAGGATCAGAAGAGAGCTCAGAAAGGTGAAGAGGGCCTGCCGAGGGATCCGAGGAACCAGTGGCCAGGGCTGGGAAGGGGCAGTGCCCAGCCCTAGGCAGGGGTGAAGGCCTCAATAGAACTGGCCCGACGCGCTTCCTGCACCCCTCCTCGTTGCAGCATCACCCAGCAGCTGGTTAAAGGGGGCAAGCCACGTGGTGTCCAGGTTAGCGAGCAGGTGGGTACCTAGTACGCCTCAGGCCCCGCCCCCTCACTCCTCTTGCGCGACGATTGGCCGAGGCTCCCCTTCTCGTTGCTATGACAGCCCCCGAAGGCTGCCATTGGCTTCTCCCTACGCCTTCCCGCCCCAGGCCCCGCCTCTCTCCCGTCCCAAGCGGCGATTGGTGGATGCATCCCGTTGCTATGACAGCATGCGATGGTTAACAGTGACTCCTACCCCCACCTTTCGGCTTCTACGCCCCAGTTGGGAGGAAGGCGGGCCTGGCCGCGTCTCCGTGGCGACGGCGGACGCGGTGCAGGCAGCTGGTACCTACCGACTAGAAAGGCTCAGGCGGCAGCCGGGATCCAGACTGGGGCGGGATCATGTCGGACCTGGGCTCGGAAGAGTTGGAGGAGGAGGGAGAGAAATATCTTGGGGTGAGATCTCCGGGTAAGGGGGGGGAGCTCCCAGGGGTGCGCGGACCCTTGGAAGCCGGTTTCGGAGAGTGGGGTGGCCTGGAGGCCAGCCACAGTCCCACTGGGAGGCCCAGCCAACAGCAAGGACCACAGCGGGCGCTGCGTCCTGCAAGATGGCTGTGAAAGGTGAAACGTTATGACGTCCGCCTGCCGAATCCCTTCTCGCTCCCCCCTCCACCAATTCCTCCTATCGTTAAAGGCAAAGATTTCCAATGCAAGGCTTTGGAAGCGTCCTCTTCCCTGCTGTCACCCTTCATCGAGACAGTTTCCTTGGATGGCTGGGTCATCCCAAGCTACCATACTATTCTTGAATGTATTTTTGTATATTATTCTGAAACTATTTCTGTAATGGAGCCTGGGTCCTCAGGATTAAAGGAAGATGGAGGAAAGCTGCTTCCTGGCAGCCTTCAAGAAATGCTAAGGCGGTCCCAGGCTCAGCGAAGGCTTCCTGAAGTATCACCATACAGGCCTGTAATCACATGTGCTTTCTTCACTTTTGTTGGAAATGACCCGGGTCGTTGGAAATATTTCCTGGTTTAGACAGCGGAGAGGAGGTAAGGGATGCACATTCAGTGATGTGAGCTGGGCTCCATGTGGGCATGTTTGTGCTGCCCGAAGCCAGAGGGTGACTATTGCCTGGCTGGCAGGTCGGGAACCTCATCCGCTGTGTGTGTGCAGGGTACAGAGTTGAAATAGTTTCAGAATTACCTGAAAAATCTAGCACCCCTGCTGAGATAGATGTGCTTGCTCAGACCTTTTTTACTAGCTCTGCACACCCATCTTCCAGCTTCTGCCTGATTTGCTGCTCAAGACAAGCACCTCTGTGCACTGGAGCCACCTGGCCAGCAGGGAGCGGCTGAAGTGCCTGGGATGTACGCATCCCGGGACAGCCAGCAGCTAGTGCTAAAAAGCAGGACAAACTGCAGGGATCTACACTCCAGAACCCCTTGTGCGATGAGGCTGAGTCTGGGACATCACCCGACATCACCCATGCTTGGCAGCCGCCTCTTTCACGTCTGTTTTCGCACCCCGTTTGCTGGTTTCTCCTGGGAGCACTTAAAAAAAAATCTGTCTCCAAGGTCTGCTTCTGGGGAACCCAAGCTACATCACCTTCCCAGTAAGCTTTCTAGTTCATCCCCTCAAATGGCCCTACCGATCTGTAACTTTTTAGTGTCCATAATTTTCAGGTTCGATTCACAGTTGGGGTCATTTTCAAGGGTTCTCTTCCTATTCAGGCACCCCAGCGTCTCAGTACTGGGTGTATCGAGAGGTCTTTGGGGCGGCAGGAGGAGCCTTTTGTACACTTTGACGTAGACTAACCCTGAAACAAGTTTGTAAGGTTATAAAATTCTGCGTTATAATCTGAGCATGAATTTCTGAGCCAAACGGTGCTAGAAAAGCACAAGAACTGCAAAAATGTTTGTTTCTGAAGCCCTTGACTGAATGTGTCTGAGCTTACGTGTAATGTCTATCCAGATCCAGCGCCGTGTCAAATCATTGCTCTATGCCATTTCATTTCATTGCTCCTCGCCATTTCATCATTCATTGTTTGCACTCTACGCTCATGTATTAGGTGCTTGAGAAACGTTTATTTCATGAAGGATGGAGAAAATAGGGAAGCGACAAGCTTGTATTATGTTTTTCATTGATTTACTTTTAAGATAGATTAATTATCGATCTTAGCTATGAGCGTTTGAACCTTAAGTCTCTTGATAAGGAGTTTAAAAATAAGATAAACTAAATTGAGTTGGGAGACTCAAGTTGACAACTGAGCCCAGTTTATTCCTCAGCTCCCCCGCCCCTCTCCCACCATCCTTGAAGGTCAAAGCTGTCTTCAGGCCACAGACACCCCAGGGATGATTTGCATTTTAAGTTCTGTATTATTGGAGGAAGGTGGGTTTAGGACACGTTCCACCCGCAAATGCTACTTCAAATGTGTTCCTATAAAGAACACAACTTGGTGCACCTCGCATTTTCCTCAAAATGGTCAGTTTTGTTTACAGTGTAAAGGATTATCATAATACATTGGAGGGAGAGAGTGAAAGTCCCACCATGGACAGGTGCCAGCTGTGTGACCCTGGACAGATGCTCCATGTCACCCAGGTGTGGTACCTACCTCACCTGTAAGACAAGGCCAAGGATTGGGAGGATGCAATGCAATACTATTTATAAAATGCCTAACACATAGTTAGTGCTTTTATTTATTTTATTCATTTTTTAAAAATTTTATTTTGGCTGCGCTGGGTCTTCGTTTCAGCACGTGGGATCTTCCTTGCAGCATGCAGGATCTAGTCCCCCAACCAGGGTTCAAACCTGGGTCGCCTGCTTTGGGAGCGCAGAGTCTTACCCACTGGACCACCAGGGAGGTCCCTGGTTAGTGCTTAATAAATGGTAACTGTGATCATCTTGTTTTCTTCGGTCCAGGAATACGAAGGGGAGCGGAACGAGGCCGGTGAGCGGCATGGACATGGGAAAGCGAGACTGCCCAATGGGGACACGTATGAAGGGAAATACGAATATGGTAAAAGGCACGGCCAGGTCAGAATCGGTGACTTGAGTGGGTGGTTTACCCAATTTAATACTCTGTTAGCAATGATTAAATTCAGGATTGATATGAATTATATAATCAATGTGTTTCAGGGGACCTACAAATTTAAAAGTGGTGCGCGGTACATTGGAGAATATGTTAAAAATAAAAAACACGGTCGAGGCACTTTTATCTATCCAGACGGATCAAGATATGAAGGTAAAGTATTACCACAAAGCAGACTTCCGTGTTGTGGAGGACTTGGGGTTGCTGAGGCACACACGAAAGCTTCAAGTTCCCCAGTCATTCAACAAATACGATCTACGTTCCTGTGTTCACAGGGTTGATGCAGAAACCAGAGAGCCTTGTAATTAGTGAACGGATCCACAGGGGGACATGTGACTGTCCCTGTGGCCTGCACATTCCCTCCTGGGGGCCCATGCGCTGAGAGAGGCTGCTGGGCGAGCACGGACCTCGGGGGGTGGGTTGGACCCAGGTCAACTGGTGCTCAGTGGTAGAGTGTCCTTGGAGCTGCTCTTGCCGTCTTCCATTGCTGACCAGCCCCTCTTCTGATGAGCACGCTGTTGGTTTAGATGGTGGTTCCTTCACGGAAGGCTTCTGATCTGGGAGGCGTTCTGCCTCGTTAAAGTGGCATTCTTACCTCTGCCGCAGTGCGTTACGTGCCAATGTTATGTGGCTCAGGAACTCTTGTCCCCTTATTTCCAAGAACCGCACTGCCGCCCCACCCACCATTGTCACCTGGTGTGACGACAGTGTGACGTCTCACCCCAAAGACCGGTGAAGGCCGTTCCTAACCCAGGGAGAGAGACGAGCGGGCGTGGGCTGTGAGCCTCGCCAACGGTGTGCAAAGGTTATGTTCTGGGCTGCTTTTCTGGGAAGTTATCTGGTTTTCATCAGATTTCCAAAAAGGTCTGTGAGCCCAACCCTGGAACTGGTGTGACAGTAGGTGTGACCTGGTTCAGGGGACCCCATCCCTCCCTGCCTCAGCTTCTCCCCTGCAGTGCGAGGATCAGAGGAGTGAACACACGTGAGATGCTCAGAACCAGACCTGACGGATCGTATGTGTTCAGTAAACGTCGGGGGGCCACAATGCAGCTTGTGCGATAGCAGCGCTTCTTACCACGGATTCCACCCTCTGAGGGTGTGGGCTGGAGCTGCGGGTCTGGTGGCCACATAAAACCAGAACCGAGGCATCCTCAAACAGGGCTTCTGCTGGAATCCTACACCTGGGTGGACAGTGTCACTGCTGTTCCTACCAGAGATGGAATTCCTCTTTGGTTTTGTTTCGTAAATCTTAGAAGCCTGGCTCCAGACGTAGGACCCATCTGCTTTTTAAATCAACTTGACACAATCTAATTTAGGATTTAATTCTTTCCAGATTCTGATGAACCTAATCTCATTATTGTCATTTTGATTTCAGCGTAGATGTTAATCTAATTTGAACAACATATCTATTTATATATATTATATATGTGATGTATGAGAAGATATATGCATATGTGGAGATACACATATACACGCTCAGAGTAGGGGGTTGAAGGAATTTTTACTGTGAAGGTTATTAGCTAACATATAAAACGCCTTTGGAGGCAGTTGTAAGTTGTCGTGTCCCCTTATGGTTTTGTACCTTAATGGGTGCAGGGCGCAGTCACTGCCCAGGGATTTCCTCTCTGAGGTCGGAGGCTAAGTACTCATTTTAGCTCAGTAAGTCCACAGTCTTCCGGCCCAAAGCCCAAGTTAACATGGGACTTCTTCGCCGCTGCTTTGGCCGAAAGGGGCGCAGACCGGCTCGCAGCCACTTGGCGAAGATGCTCAACACAGGTGTGCAGGGGGGGCGGCCCCAGGCGCTGGAGCAGGTGCGAGGTGGGAAACAGATGGAAATGCCGGCAAGTGGCTGAGAATAGACCACCGAGGCTCCAAGTTGTTGCTGGATCACTGAACGCACACGAGGCAGCAGGGGTGTGGAGCTGGGGCCACTGTCCATAGGGCAGCAAACCCTGGCTTGAAGCCTTGCTGTGCCGCCGGCCAAGTGGGAAAAAGTGGCCCAGTACATACACCTGCCAGCCCGTCCCCCCAGAGGCCCAGCTCAGCCTCCCTCCGCCGGCTCCCCACTCCAGGTGTCCATTGGTCCGGCCGAGAGACAGGGATGGAGGGGGGTCAGAGTGGGCAGGGACAGCGGTGAAGGGCGGAGCTGTTTCCTCCTGACCCCTGCTTTTGTGTGGCCCTTCCAGGGGAGTGGGCGGACGACCTGAGGCATGGCCACGGCGTGTACTACTACGTCAACAATGACAGCTACACCGGGGAGTGGTTTGCTCACCAAAGGTTCGGTTCTCCCCCTGGGCCCGCAGATCAGTTCACGTCATGAGCACATGACGGTGACTAAGCAACAGAATCATGACTGGAGAGCCCACTGGCCAGCTCTGCCCCATGGTTCATGGCTTTAAGGCCAGCGTGGGAGCAATGTACTGCTGCGCGACTGCAGGTTCCCGGGAACCCACCCAAGGGCCCCAGGCCACGGAGGGCACGGGAGAACCTTCTGGGCGCTGAGTTGCAGCTCCCAGGAGCCCTGCCTTTTCCACGCGCCAGCCAGCTGGTAGGCAGGAGGCCGCCGCTGTCCAGCAGGGATGCCTGCTCTCAGCTGGGGCCGCGAGCAGGAGGTGTGCTTAGATTGGGCCCAGATATAGAAGCCACTGGTGAGCCCACCTCAGCCTAGGCCCCCCTTGATTCAAATGTGTGTCTCAGGGCTTCCCTGGTGGCGCAGTGGTTGAGAGTCCGCCTGCCGATGCAGGGGACACGGGTTCGTGCCCCGGTCTGGGAAGATCCCACGTGCCGCGGAGCGGCTGGGCCCGTGAGCCATGGCCGCTGAGCCTGCGCGTCCGGAGCCTGTGCTCCGCAACGGGAGAGGCCACAGCAGTGAGAGGCCCACGTACCGCAAAAACAAAAAACAAAAAACAAATGTGTATCTCATAAACCTGGAAGGGTTTTCACTGCAACAGAACCGAGTGCATCGTGGTCCTCATCTTCACCAGGCACGGGCAAGGCACCTACTTCTACGCGGAGACGGGCAGCAAGTACGTGGGTACCTGGGTGAACGGCCAGCAGAAGGGCACGGCCGAGCTCATCCACCTGAACCACAGGTACCAGGGCAAGTTCTTGAACAAAAATGTAAGTCGACGGGCAGCGATGTTTGCCAATGAAATAAGCAACACCCTCCTCCCCGAGCCTGTGTAAATGTGTGAGCAGAAAATAGGACAAACCCAGGCAAACCCTCCCACCCCCTCCAGATAGGGAAACAGGGCAGCTGTGCTGAGCTCCGAGCCTCACTGATACCCACAGAGGGCAGGGCGGGGGCGGGGGAAGCTCAGATAGTTTCTCTGCATCTCAGTAACATCCATGCTCTCTCCCAGCAGCGGGAATCATTATAGCACTGGGGGCATCTTGACCTTGGTCTCATGAGTAAATCGGATATGAAATAACGTATTTGTCTGCAACGACGGAGCATTTCCTGCAGTTGAGCCTGTGGGTGTTTTTGACTTTCTTTCCCCGGGGAGGCCCGCAGCCGGAGCTGCAGGGAGGAAGACCCACCAGGTCCTCCCTGGAGCCCCACGCCCACCCACCTGCTCCAGGTGGTGGTGGGACTGGAGGCCTTGGGTCTGAAGATTTCCGGTTCGCAGTACCCGTGATGGGTCATTTCTGTTTGGAGGACTCTGTGGCCTTACCTGTCCTTGTTGCCCGAGCCCTGATGGGATGCAGAGAAACCCTGAATAATTTGAAACCTACCTACCACCCTGCATTTGCCATGTAGCCTTGATCAGGGGTTGAGCAGAAACTTTCCCCAAAGAAAGAGTTTGCTGAGCAAATGAAAGGTGTTAAGAGTTTGACAGAGGAACATCTAACTGATTTAATAGAGTAGCCTCAGACCCTTAAAACTCAGTTTTCATTTCCATATAATTCACACCCTAATTGCAGACTCTGCTTTTAGTCTTTGTAAGTGTAGGCACGTTCTCCTCAAATCTGTACATGGAATACGTCACTCCCAGCAAAATCTCATGAGATCTTTTTCGGCACACGGAGGTGGGTGGAAGAAAGACAATTAGATACGAGTTAATTGGGAGGAACCAATGAATGCTGCAAACCTAGACTCATCTGAGGAGTAAGAGCAGAGTGGGGCTTTGTTCTGCTAGTTAGAAAAAGACTTTAAAGTTGTGCCAGAGCGTAGTTCCAACTGTGAAACGCCCAGACTCTGGATCCCACCTGCCCACCTCAAGCATCGCAAAGGCACAGACTTACACGTACAGCTTATACAGAGTTACAGCATGGGGATTTTAATTACATAAATAGAACCACACTATATCAGGACCCCCCAAAAAGCTATCTTTTTGTGTATTCAGAAGTTTTTATGTAGGTTAGTTACTGGAATTGCGAAATCTATAAGTATTGATACTTTAAATGATGATGACTACTCTAATTGTCCTGAAAAGCTAAGCCAGTTTACACTCTGGTCAGCAGGCTATGGGAGTCTCTTCATCACTTCTTCCATCAACATTGGATAGTATTCGTCTTTAACATTTTCTTTTCAAATCTGGTGGGTAAAAAATGTTATCTCATAGTTTTAATGTGGAATTTCCTGATTCCCGGTGAGGCCCAGCACCTTTACACACTTTTATTGCTGGTTTGACTTTCTTCCTTCAGACAATTACCTGTTCACATCCTTGCTGACAAGTTATGAAAACACACTATAAATCTTCAATAATGAAAACAGTGTGATACTAGGATAGAGAAATATAGATCAGTGAAGCAGGTTAGAGAGTCCACAGACAGATCGAAGTATATAAAATAATTTAGCACTTGAAAGGATGTCATTTCCAGTTAAAAGGAATGGTGGGGAGAAGTCAAGAAATGGTGCTGGGAGGGCTTCCCTGGTGGCGCAGTGGTTGAGAGTCCGCCTGCCGATGCAGGGGACCCAGGTTCGTGCCCCGGTCCGGGAGGGTCCCGCATGCCGTGGAGCGGCTGGGCCCGTGAGCCACGGCCGCTGAGCCTGCGCGTCCGGAGCCTGTGCTCCGCAACGGGAGAGGCCACAACAGTGAGAGGCCTGCGTACCGCAAAAAAAAAAAAAAAAGAAATGGTGCTAGGACAGCTTGATGACCATTTGGGAGAAAAAATAAAACCAAAGTTTGTCCTCCAGCATGTAGAGGAAGATACTTACTAGAAGAAATAAAGATTTAAATGCAAACAAGAAAGCCACAGATAGAAGAATAAGTATTTATGACCTTTGGATTGAGGAAGAGGACTTTCTATACAAAAATAGAAAGGAAAACCCAAAAGGTTTCACTTGATAAAAATAAGCCAGTATAGATTAGAGAGCACCATAAAGAAAATGTAAAAGATATCTGACAAAAGGGGTTGGGATATTTGTAACATTTAATTTGTAAAGCACTTAATCAACGTGATTTAAATTTCAAAAATGTTGAAAAAAAATTCAGCCTTACTAATAACTTAAAAGGTGTGACTTCAAAGGATGAGGTCCTGTTTTTACATGTATATAAAAAATGTAAAAGTATAACAAATGTTAAGCCCAGAAAAAATAAGGGTTTGCGGACGAGAGGCTCTTAAGTGCTGTTGTGGGAAAGAAAATTATTAGAGCCTTATTCTGGTTTTAAAAAAATAT